ATAAATGCTTGTTTAGTTCCTTAAAATTTTGCCACTATAGTTTTGTATTAATGTGTTGATAACCTAGAAACTGTTAAGACGCTGGATTAAAACACAGAGTTTAGCTCTGCTGCATTGGATTAAAGGTCCTTTGAGTGCATTTATTCTATGAAGATTGGCTTTAATAGAGCATGCAATTAAAAAATACATTGGTCCTTAGTTAACGTTATTCTTTATTGACTAACCAGAATGAGCTTTTGACATTGATTTTTAAAAATTAGTTTTGTCTGCTGGAGTCAGAGAATCCATTTTAGGAATAGCCTTTATGAGAATGTACATTCTCATTTTCTGATTACTAGATCTCAAAATGGTGATAGCTTCCCTGTAATAGATTAAGACAATATTCTGATATGTGGATACTCATTGTGGATCATTTACAGAGTGAATTTTCATGGAGTTTTTGAAAAATCCTTAGCATCTTATGAAAGTTATTCTCCTACAGGTCAATTTTGTCATCCACTTCTCTCAGTTAAATGTGCTGTAAGTTGTTGCTCAGTGCTGGGACTAACGAAAATGTTTGCTTGATGTTTCCCAGGTCTCTGAGGACTTTTGAAGCTTCAACTTCCTACTTAATTGCCTTCTCAAAGAATATATTTTTTAGTGCTTAGGAAAATAATTGAATTTTTAAATAATAGTTAAATACTAAGAAATAATAAGCCTTTCAAAATGAAGGCTTAAAGTAAAAGCCATTTAATAGTTAAATACTAAGAATAATAAGCCTTTCAAAATGAAGGCTTAAAGTAAAAGCCATTTTAAAGTTTTAAAAGTGAGTGGATCTTAGTGGGGAATTTACATGGGATGCCTTGTAATCTATGAACTCTAACAACACCTATTTAGTATGGAAATGCTGTTTTATGTTAGAAAAATGATTTATGAACCGTTTTATTGTTAGAAGTTAAAAGTTTTGGTTAGATTATATGATATCCCCTTTAGATATAGATACTTAAGTGTCAAACCCGGAATTATCTCACTGTTATTTAATAGTCTCTTCCCTTCTTTAATAGCTTCTCCACCTCCCCCCACCCTGCCCCCAGTGTAAAAGTTACATTGCATCAAGGCCAGACTCAGCCAAGGATATCTTAATCCTAATATTTCAGTGAGCATTGCAAATAATATGTAATTCTTTTATTAGAGTAAAGCTTTGCAGCTGATAATGAAAGTCTTGAAACTAAATGACATTTATCTCATTTTCCCTCATTCTTTGTAACCAGAAGAGGTGACAGTTTTCAGCAATCTGTATTCAACGAAGGAGTGGTCTCCTCTGCAAAATTTTTAGTTTTTAACATATTATGCCCACTGTGTGAACTTCCGTAGTGATAGATTTGTACTGTTTTTCTCTTGGTGCTTTGTTTTTGGGATTAATTTTATTTGAAAAAGCTTCAGTATAAAATAAGCATGTGTTCTATGATACATATACACACATACATACAAAGACACAGTTCACTGTAATATATAACTTTTAATGTATATGTAAGGTGAAATTAATTCCTTGGGGGCTCAGTGGTTGAGCGTCTGCCTTGGCTCAGGTCCCAGGGTCCCAGGATCGAGTCCTGCATTGGGCTCCCTGCGTGGAGCCTGCTTCTCCCTCCACCTGTGTCTCTGCCTCTGTGTCTCTCTCATGAATAAATAAATAAAATCTTAAAAAAAAAGAAATTAATTTCTCTTTGTGTTTTGGGATTAGAAGGCCTATTTAGAAAAGAAAAAGGCCTATTTGATTAATCAGGGAATGTCATATATTAACCATAAGTCTTAGTTTATAAAATTCTCAGGCCATGTGGACAGTATGTTAATCATTTACTTGTATCTTCTTATGTAGTATCTTTGAGATGTTTTTGGTCTAACCTTCAACCCAGATCAATTCATTTCAGAAAGCTTACAGCTTTTATGAACTATTAGAGAGCAAAGCTCTGAGCAATATAAAGTCTTCCTATTTAGCCTGTGATAGTGTTGAGCAATGTGATTTTCTTCTACTACATTGTGTTCTGTATAATTAAAACACATTGCTTTCCTTATCTTTAGTTATCAAACTAAACAAAAGCAAATTACTTTCATTTTTCTGATCGAGGGTGGAGTAGATAGTATTTTTAAGTTGATGAACTAAGCATAATATTTCTTTAACTGACAACTGACATTGAAGCAGGAGCCATAGTCTTTGTGGAAGCAGCAATGTGACAGCATTAAAATACTTGAAGGCCTTATCTGTAATGGCCTTCTTAAACAGGTAGTGCTGCCATTTTTTTCTTTCTTTTTGGTATAATAGTAAATAGCTTCGTACCAATTTGTAATCTGCCTTTTTTTTCCTTTTAAAAATAAATTGTGGTAGATTGTAATCTTTTTAACATAATAGTTTATCAGGCATTGGTGGTGGGCATTTTTACTGAAGTCTCCCAATCACTAAAACAAAGCCTTGTTTTACTTTTTTTTTTTCTTCTCCAAGTAAGTTCTACACCCAACGTGAGGTCTACACCAACTATCATAAATAAATAAAAATTTAAAAAATTATAAAAAAAAATGTTGGCTATCTTTCTGTGTTTAGAAACTTTTTCTTTCTTTTTTTGTAAGTGAATATAAATCTATTTAATTTGAAACAAATGTAAAAGATGCAGTAAATCATATCTTTACAAAAGCATTATGAGTTGTCCCTGATCTCTTCCTTCTTTCTGCATCCCACCCTTACAAAACGAAACAAACCCCAAAACTCTATGTAACGAATATAATAAGCCAAGCAAGAAACTTATGACTTTAACCAACATTAATTTTTCCCATTTCAACTGGAAGTTCACCCGCACGAATTCCTAGTGAAGTTTCGATTTCAAGAACTACGACAATTATGGTGGAAGTGGACCATTTTCTCTTCTCTCCTCTCTCTACCACAAAGTCATAAATATCTGGCAAAACAGGTACATGAAAGTGGTTTCTAATCCTTTTTGCCTCAGATCTTTTTTTCTTTATCACAGCTGCAAAGTGTTTTATTTATTGATATGTCAACATTTATTTACCTTACTCTCCATTTATTTATGATAGTCACACAGAGAGAGACAGAGGCAGAGACATAGGCAGAGGGAGAAGCAGGCTCCATGCACCGGGAGCCCGACGTGGGATTCAATCCCAGGTCTCCAGGATCGCGCCCTGGGCCAAAGGCAGGCGCCAAACCGCTGCGCCACCCAGGGATCCCAAAAAAAAATGGCCAGCTGTAAAAAGACTGGTGTCCAAGTTCACTTAAAATTCAAGAAATATACAAGATCCCCTTGTTTTTACCTATCAGGTTCGCAAAGATTTAAACTATATACACCATCAGCATTAGGAGTATGTGAGGACCCTGATGATTAGTAAGCTGTTTTCAGAGGTGGGTTAGAAAGCGTCACATTTTTAAAGGCCTACTGACTCTGGAGATCCCTGGGTGAGAATTTACAAATATTTGTCACCACTCACAACACCAAGATACAGAGACACAAAAGGAAATTCACTGCAGAGTTGTTTTAACCTAAAACCTTAATATTGGGGCACCTGGCTGACTCAGGGGGGTGGAACATGAAGCTCTTGATGTCAGGATTTAAGTTTGAGCCCACACTGGATGTAGAGGTTACTTTAAAAAAAATAAAATCTTGGGATCCCTGGGTGGCGCAGCGGTTTAGCGCCTGCCTTTGGCCCAGGGCGCCATCCTGGAGACCTGGGATCGAATCCCACGTCGGGCTCCCGGTGCATGGAGCCTGTTTCTCCCTCTGCCTGTGTCTCTGCCTCTCTCTATCTGTGTGACTATCATAAATTAAAAAAAAAAAATTAAAAAAAAATTAAAAAAAAATTTGTTATTTATTCATGACAGAGAGAGAGAGAGAGAGAGAGAGAGACAGAGACACAGGCAGAGGGAGAAGCAGGCTCCATGCAGGAGCCCGATGTGGAACTCGATCCCAGGACCCCAGGGTCCTGCCCTGGGCCGAAGGCAGACACTCGACTGCTGAGCCACCCAGGCATCCCTAAAAAAGTTTTTTTTAAATATTTAGTCATGAGAGAGAGAGAGAGAGAGAGGGAGAGGCAGAGACATAGGCAGAGGGATGTGGGACTTGATCCTGGGATCCCAGGATCATGACTTGGGCCAAAGGCAGATGCTCAAACACTGAGCCACCCAAGTGCCCCAGGATGATTCTTTAAAATTAGGGTTTTTTTTTTTTTTAATTTTATTTATTTATTTATTTATTTATTTATTTATTTATTTATTTATTTATTTATTTATTTATTTGAGACACAAGGAGAGAGAGAGACAGAGACACAGGCAGAGGGAGAAACAGGCTCCATGCAGGGAGCCCGTTGCGGAACTCGATCTTGGGTCTCCAGGATCATGCCCTGGGCCGAAGGCGGCGCTAAACTGCTGAGCCACCCGGGCTGCCCTAAAATTAGTTTTTGAATGGCAGTCTCCACCACCCTGTTCCCCAACTTATCCTCAATTTTATAATAGAAGTTAAGGTAACTAGGAGGTTATATATATACATAAATATAGTTGCTGGATGATTTGATGTTTTAGCTATTTTGTAAAAAGATTACGTCTGTGTATAGAGGAATCAAAATCTCTTTCAAAGTTTGGTTTTTCGGGGCACCTGGGTGGCTCAGTCAGAAGAGTGTGTGACTCTTGATTTTGGGGTCATGAGTTTGAGCCCTACATTGGGTGTAGATATTACTAAAAATAAAAACTTCAAAGTCAGGTAATTTTCAACAGCTTGCAGTTCAGTAACATTCATTTGGAAGGGTTGAAGAGGGGTGTGCACAGGATGCATCATTTATATGGGGAAGGGTAATCGTACATATTCTGCTCTTCTGGTGGAAAAGAGTTTGAGAAACTACTACCCATCTTCTATTTTATTTGACTGGTTAGAGATAACGTGTTTTACTAAGCTGGGGTTTTAACAGAATTTTTATAATTTCAGAATGATAAATTCGTCTAATCAAAGCCTTTGCTTCTCCCCTAGGATTGGCAGCCACCATTTGCATGTGATGTTGACAAACTTCATTTTACCCCTCGTATCCAGAGGCTGAATGAATTGGAGGTAATATCTTAACTGTTGTTCTGGTGGACTGTGTTCCAGAGGTACTTTCTTCAAAGAATCTCTGTCACAAATCTACTGGTTTTAGTGAAGCTAAAATACAGCCAATAATTGATAATCACGGTAAAACAAATTTGCTATGAAAATGACAAAAATGCCTTTTTGCAGCAAGCCAGGTTTCATTGGGATCCCTGGGTGGCGCAGTGGTTTGGCGCCTGCCTTTGGCCCAGGGCGCGATTCTGGAGACCCCGGATCGAATCCCACGTCGGGCTCCCGGTGCATGGAGCCTGCTTCTCCCTCTGCCTATGTCTCTGCCTCTTTCTCTCTCTCTGTGTGACTATCATAAAATAAATAAAAATTAAAAAAAAAAAAGAAAACTCTTTTTGTCAATCACTTTTGACCTCTTAATTCATTTAAATCCTTTTAAATTAGATGACAACCACAAGAATTTAGATTTAAGATTTATTTATTTATTTATTTATTTATTTATTTATTTATTTATTTAAGAGAGAGAGAGAGACAGACAGACAGACAGACAGAGGTAGAAGCAGGCTCCATGCTGGGAGCCTGATGTGGGACTTGATCCCAGGTCTCCAGGATCATACCCTGGGCTGAAGGTGGCGCTAAACTGCTAAGCCACTGGGCCTGCCCAAGAATTTAGATTTTGAAGGGAATGTACTTTGAGACTATCTAATGGAAAGGAATTTCCAACTCTATAATTTTTTTCCAAATACACATCTTCACTTAGATTTAATAACATAATTTCTTTTTTTTTAAGAGTTTATTTATTTATTAATGAGAGACACACACAGAGAGAGAAGCAGAGACACAGAGGAGAAGCAGGCTCCACGCAGGAAGCCTGATGTGGGACCCGATCCCGGGACCCCAGGATCTCGCCCTGAGCCGAAGGCAGGCACCAAACTGCTGAGCCACCCAGAGATCCCCTAAAATTTAATTTCTTAAGGAGGAGTGAGGAATACTTGCGTATTCTCTAGAGAAGAGATGTTTCTTCAATCCGTTTGCTACTGAAATCCTAAAGTATGGAGTGAAGAAGGCTTAAGTATTAATAATCTAGAAGTAGTGTTTACGTTACCATTTTGAAAACCTCATTTTCATATTGAATCACGCTTTTCTATAAAACATTTTTAACTTAAATGGAATATACGTTCATTGGCATTCTGTGAACACTGGTGGTAGTAGCATCTAGTGTCTATATTTTCAACATGAGCTTAAAAGATAGGAAATGGGTACTAACTTTGAGGTCTTAGTACCTTTGTTCCTTTGTACTTAGTACCTTAGTTCCTTTGGGAACATTTGAACATTCATCTCAATTTTGCTCTTGAGCAAGATAAAACTCCTAAAACTATCAGACTTTAATTTTCAAGGAGAGGAAAGAAAAATGACAGAAAAAATTTTAATAACTTACAACAGTAATAATTTGTTGAATGAATACAATTAATTAAGAAAGTTTCCCCTGGTTTTCTGTTATCTTGTCAGTGCTCATTAAAATTGATATGGAATCTCTGTTGTAAATCTGATTTTGGATTTGTGTTTGAGAGGGTGCCCTGGTGGCTCAGTTGATTAATCATCTGCCTTCACCTTAGGTCATGATCCCAGGGACCTGAGATAGAGCCCCACATCAGGTTTCCTGCTCAGCAGGGAGTCTGCTTCTCCCTCTCTCTCTGCCTTTCCCCCTGCTTGTGCTCTCTCTCTCTGTCAAAATCTTTAGAAAATAAAAAAAAAAAAAATCTGTGTTTGAGAAAATAAAACTTGTGCTTGAAAAGAATAGACCTTTAAAATTACCTCGATTGTAAAAAGACCAAAAGACCATTACTTGCTATATAATTTTAACCAATAACCAAATATAGGAGTCCGTAAGTGAAGTGCTTTTCAGAATGCTACTTAAGGGAAGGCTTATTAAGTGCCTGACTTTTTGCTTGAGACATAGTAGGGGCTGAATTAAATAATTATTTAACCAGCTTTATTTTTTATATATATTTTTTGGTAGTTTCTGTATTGAATTCGGAAGTGATATTTCATGGGTTGCCTGGGTGCCTCATTCCAGTTAAGCATCATCTGCCTTTGGTTCGGGTCATGGTCCCAGGGTCCTGGGATCCAGCCCCACATGGGGCTCCCTTTTTAGGAGCCTGCTTCTCCCTCTCCTGCTCCCCCTGCTTGTGCTCTTGCTCTCTCTGTCTCTCAGATAATAGATAAAATCTTTTCAAAAAATAAAGAAGTGCTATTTCACTTAGGTATTCTTTTTTTCTTTTTAAAGATTTATTTTAGAGAGAGAAACAGAGCATATGTGGGAGGGGCAGAAGGAGAGAGAATCTCAGACTTGGCACTGTGAGCACAGAGCCTCATGTAGGGCTTGATCTTACGACCATGAGATTGTGACCTGAGCTGAAAGGAAGTCAGATGCTCAACTGACTGTTCCACCCAGGTGCGCCTCACTTAACTATATTAAGAGTGAAAATACCACACACATAGGTAATACACAGGAGTTTTAAAAGAAGCTAAGTGCAATTAAAATTCATTTCTTTGTCATTTAGGCCCAAACTCGAGTAAAACTGAATTTCTTGGACCAGATTGCAAAGTACTGGGAGTTACAGGGAAGTACTCTGAAAATTCCACATGTGGAGAGGAAGATCTTGGACTTGTTTCAGCTCAATAAGGTAAGAGGCTAATGGCCATCTCCCTCATTTAGTATCTTTCTGCCAACCTGAATTTGATCTTCTTCACTTTATGTAGAAACGTATTGTTTGAAATATGTAAAATGAAATTCTCTATTCATTTTAGTGATGTTCGGGCTCTACTTGTCCGGTCTGAAAGCCTTGCCTTGTGAATGAAATATTTTGCTGCCACCTTTTGTGTGTGTCATTTTAAAACTTAACAATGTTTCTGTAGGATACTCCTTTCTGTTTTATTACAGTTCAAGCAAATGGGGCTCAAGAAGAAAATTGACTGAGTCAAGAAAAAGGCTGAGTCATAATTCAGTACTTGAAATTCAGGTTTACTTCAGTGTAAAACCTACATTCTTTACCCCAAAATGGTGCCATCTCTCCCACTCCCTTGGCTTATTATGCAGTTTTTTTCTCTTTAAAGATTTTATTTATTCATGAGAGAGAGAGAGACAGAGAGGGAGAAGCAGGCTCCCTGTGGGGAGCCCGATGTGGGACTCGATCCCAGCACCCAGGATCCTATCCTGAGCTGAAAGCAGACGCTCAAAAAAAAAAAAAAAAAAAAAAAAAAATGAAAGCAGATGCTCAACCACTCACACTCAGTGAACCACCCAGGCATCCCAGCTTATGGAGATTTTTGAGGACCACTGAGTTGGACAAAGTACTAGGGCTCATTCATTATTAGAGATTTAGTTATTGATCTCTTCCTTCCTCCCAGAAAATCTTGACTGCTCTGGGGAACTGAGAAGTAGCTTTTGGGGGTACAAAATGTTTATGGACTATATTGTTAAAAGCGATCTTCTAATTTTCTAGGTTGAAATTAGTAGTGCAAGTATATTTTCCTTTGACTTGGAAAATGTGTTTTTAAAAATAACCATAGCCAAGAACATTTTGTTCTTGGAGTCATACCTAGGTAAGAAAGAGTTAGAAGTGATTTCTGTACAGGTGTTTCTGATTTCTTTTGCTATTAACAGTTAGTTGCAGAAGAAGGTGGATTTGCAGTTGTTTGCAAGGATAGAAAATGGACCAAAATTGCCACCAAGATGGGATTTGCTCCTGGCAAAGCTGTGGGCTCCCATATCAGAGGGCATTATGAACGCATCCTCAATCCCTACAACTTGTTCCTGTCAGGAGACAGTTTGAGGGTAAGTATTGATGCCAATTTTAACCTGTTTTATTGCACAGCTTATTGGTATATTGTCTTTCAGGGTGAATGAAGAGGCCTAATTCTGTGTGGAGAACATCGTTGAGAAGACTTCGTATTGTGAATTTTTCCTCCTATGTTTCTGTTTTGTTTTGAGAACAGCCATATTAGAAGTGGGTTTTTGGAATGAATAAGATTGTGGAGGAAATAGCCTTTTGCTGTCAGAAGCCAAAGTCTGTATTTAACTTCACTAATGCAGTGTCTTCCTAATGACAAGTTGATTATTATCTTGTTATGGGTTTTGTACTTTTGCATTCACATACTTTGGAGAGCTTATTCCTTGTTGTCACATGAAAGTACCACCTGTGAAATAATTTGGCTACCTTTTCTCTTGCCTGCTGAGATCTCTGAGATTTTCAGATAGAATGCTGATGTGGGTAAAAGGTAGGGGACTTAATAATGCTGTATAGCTAATGGATCCCTCTTCTAATAGTTCCTGTGTAGCCATGTTTGTTTTCTTACAAAGATGGTATTTGCCAATTTATTCAAATAACTTTCGTCGTAATTAAACTGTATTATAAAATCTTCTTATTTCAAGACACTGCTGGAAAGAATAATGTCATAATCGGTTTACACCCTTTGAGTTATTCTAAGGCAAGAGCCCTGAGCCCTGTAATTTTAAGAATTGTTACTGTGTTATGGAGAAGTAGAAAGATAATAACATAGTTTCGAGAGGGCAAACCACTAATCAGAAGTCTGTTTTCATATTATAGAGATACCATCTGTAATGCTCAAATCCTATAGATTTTTATAGCATTGCAATTTTCTTCCCTTTCTCCCTTCTTGATTCCAGGGGAGCTTTCTTTTCAACCTAGAAGGGCATGACCAATCTAATATTCAGAAAGTTTTCATTTTTAAAATATACATGTGTGAATGTTTTTTTTTTTAATTTTTTTTATTTATTCATGATAGACATAGAGAGAGAGGCAGAGACACAGGAGAAGGGAGAAGCAGGCTCCATGCATGGAGCCCGACGTGGGACTCGATCCTGGGACTCCAGGATCGTGCCCTGGGCCAAAGGCAGGCGCTAAACTGCTGAGCCACCCAGGGATCCCTACATGTGTGAATGTTTAATGAACCCAGGGATGAAATTATTTAGAACATTGTATGTGGAACCTTTATGCTTCCATAAAGTCACATCTATATAGAGTTGCCTACAGTAGATTTTCTCCTTACTAACTTTTCTGTTTCAGTGTGGAAGCAATAGTAAGAGGAAAGAGTCTACCTGCTTTATGGTTTGCAACATTGTAAAAAAAATACATATTCTTAGGTGTAATGTAAGTTTCATGGTTGAAAAGCATATAGGCACTTACTCAATTGTAGTCTGAAATGAATAGGTATTTAAAGATGCCTTTAAAAAAAGATGCCTTTTACAAACATTACATTTACAAGACAGATAAATATTTATTGAGGGACCCACTCTGTACTAAGTATGTTCTAGGCACTGAAAGGTATTCATTGCAGAAAGCTTACAAACAAAGCGTGATGAAAGTAAAATCACTCGTAATCCTCTCAACCTGTTTTTTCTTTCAAGGCTGTTTTTATGCATATATACACACACTGGAATTGTATTCTTCATTTACAATATTCTATCCTGCCTTTCCCCTGCTTAATATATCATGAGTATTTGCCATGTCCTTGAATATTTTTGAAGTTCTATAGTTGAATGACTCTGGCATTCTGTGTTTATAGCCAGACTTTGATTTCCCCTGTTGTTGAATGTTATATTTATTATACTGTGATGGCCATTTTTTGTACTTAATTTTTAGCCCATTTTTGAAAATCATTCTTAGAGAAAGGATAAATGGAATAGATATATTTTAAAAGAGAGGAACACGTGATGCTGCCACACACATATTAAAATGGCCAAATTCAGAACACTGACAACATAAAGGCTGGCAAGGACATTAGAAGTTTTCATTCATTGCTGGCAGGAATGCAAAATGACACAGCTACTCTGAAGACACTTGGCCATTTCTTAGAAAACTAAACATACTGTGTTACCGTACAGTTCAGTAGTCATGTTCCTTAGTATTTACCGAAAGGAGTTGAAAACTTATGTCCACTCAAAACCTGCACAAGGATGTTTTTAGCCACTTTATTACTCTTAATTGCCAAGACATGAGTGCAGCCAAGCTGTCCTTCATGAGGTAAATGGATAAATGAAATGTGGCATATCCAGACAGTGAAATATTATTCAGCATTAAAAAGAAAAGAGATCGGGGATCCCTGGGTGGCGCAGCAGTTTAGCGCCTGCCTTTGGATCTGCCCAGGGCGCGATCCTGGAGACCCGGGATCGAATCCCACGTCGGGCTCCCGGTGCATGGAGCCTGCTTCTCCCTCTGCCTGTGTCTCTGCCCCCCTCCTCTGTGACTATCATAAATAAATTTAAAAAAAAATTAAAAAGAAAAGAGATATTAAAAGAGAGAGAGAGAGAGATTTCAAGTCATGATAAGACAAGGAGAGGAGTCTTAATGCATATCACTAAGTGAAAGAACTAACATGAGAAGGCTACATCTACTTTATGGTCCCAAACATTTAATATTTAAGAAAAGGCAAAACTATAGAAACAGTAAAAAGATCAGCAGGGGTTTGGGGACAGGAGGGCAGGTGGGGGAAAATATGCAGAGCACAGACAATTGTTAGAGCAGTGAAAATATCCTCCATTGCATTATACATGTCTAAATCTACAGGATGTTCAGCACAACAGGTGACTCCTAATGTCACCTATGAACTTCAGCTAATAGTGATGTGTCAGCGCAGGTTTATCAGCTATAACGAATGAGCCACTACTCTGGTGAAGGATGCTGACAATGGGGGAGGCTGTGCACGGGGGGTGGGGGGGGCAGCCAGGATGTATATAGTGTAAATCTCCACCTTCATTTTAACCTAAAACTTCTCTAAAAATAAAGCCTTAATATTAAGGGAAAAAAATGATGCCCAACAAAGGAATTGTTGCTAAAGGATGACCCAAAGCCTAGAGTAAGTTTTGGGAAGCTTAAAGAAAGTTGAGTGGAGAGGCAGTGGTGCTGTGGGACAGAGGCTCCAGTCCTGTAGTCCCGTGTTTTCTTTTGCTTCTTTCTTTCTTTTTTTCTTTCTTTTAAGGTTTATTTATTATTTTACAGAAAGGGAAGTGGGGCAGAGAAGAGGGAGGGAAAAAACTCTGCACTGAGCATGGAACCAATGTGGGGGCTTGATCTCTCAACCCCGAGAGATCTGAGCCAAAACCAAGAGTCAGATGCTCAACCGACTGTGCCATTCAGGTGGCCCTCTTGTATTCCCATGTTTTCTAAATACCTCAGTGGATTGCTCTGTCTCTGTAGGATGATGTCCTCATGCTGTGGTTATTAGTCACCTCTCAATCTCAGGTTCTCAAAGGTTAAATTAGTCTACATGTACTAGCATTAGATACAAGGCAAACACCTCAGTTTTGTGTCCAGCATTGTGGTTTGAAACAACATTGTTTCAAACTCTTCATTGTTGGTGAGACTGCAAGCTGGTACAGCCACTCTAGAAGACATTGTGGAGGGTCCTTAAGTTAAAAATTAAAAAATTAAAATAAAATAAAAAAAAGAAGTTAAAAATAGAGCTACACTATGACCCAGCAATTGGGCTGTTGGGTATTTACCCCAAAGATACAGATGTAGTGAAATGAAGGGACACCTGCACCACCCCAGTGTTTATAGCATCAGTGTCCACAGTAGCCAAACTGTGGGAGGATCCTCGATGTCTTTCAATAGATGAATGGATAAAGATGTGGTCTATATACATGATGGAATATTACTCAGCCATCAGAGAGCATGACTACTCACCATTTACATTGATGTGGTTAGAACTGGAGGGTATTATGCCGAGTGAAATAAGTCCATTGGAGAAAGATGATCATCATACAGTCTCACTCATATGGGGAATATAAGAATTAGTGAAAAGGGATTATAAGGGAAAAAGGGGGAAACTGAGTGGGGAAAAATTAGGAAGAGAAATCACAAGAGACTCCTAACTCTGGGAAACAAACAAAGGGTTGCAGAAGGGAGGTGGGTGGGGGGATGGGGTGGCTGGGTGACAGGCACTGAGGAGGGCCCATGATGGGATGAGCACTGGGTGTTATACTATATGTTGGCAAATTGAATTTAAATTTTTAAAAAGAGAAGCTCTTCATATATCTTCTGAAAGTTTCTGAGCTTGATTTTACCTTTGATCTCTAAAGTCCTTCTAGAATGAAGCAGACCATAGTTAATGGAAGTAAGAGATAGGGACCACATAATCTCTGAATTTCCTTAAAAAAAAAAAAACAAAAAAAAAATATTTTAGAGACTGCTCATGTGGGCATGAGTGGGGAAGGGGCAGAGTCTCATGACCCTGAGATTGAGCTGAAATCAAATCGGATACTTAACTGACTGAGCCACTCAGGTGCCCCTAATCTCTGAATATCTGACCATCCACTTGATAAAATTTATTGATTCAATTCAGTTTCTACCTACATACTTTTAGGTCTCAAATAGAAAACTTATATAATACATAAAAGAGGTTAATTAAATGACAGGCAGATTTTATTCCCATCTCCATGCTTTCATTAAATATTTTCTAAACGTTCAACTTGAGGACTTTTTTTTTTTAAAGATTTTATTTATTTATTCATGAGAGACACAGTGAGAGAGAGAGAGAAGTGGAGAAGCAGGTTCCATGCAGGAAGCCTGATGTAGGACTCGATCCCGGGACTCCAGGATCACACCCTGGGCCAAAGGCAGACGCTTGACCCCTGAGTCCCCCAGGTGTCCCAACTTGAGGACTTGTTACAGAATGGTGATAATCCACATTAGTTAACATTTCCAGATCAAATTCATGTAAGAGTTTAATTAGAATTAGCAGAATAGGGGATCCCTGGGTGGCGCAGCGGTTTGGCGCCTGCCTTTGGCCCAGGGCGCGAACCTGGAGACCTGGGATCGAGTCCCACATCGGGCTCCCGGTGCATGGAGCCTGCTTCTCCCTCTGCCTGTGTCTCTGCCTCTCTCTCTCTCTCTCTCTCTCTCTCTGTGACTATCCTAAGTAAAATAAAAAATTAAAAAAAAAAAGAATTAGCAGAATATTTAATATATAGGTTGTTGTACCAGTGGTAGGTTTATTTATTTATTTAGAGTATTAAGTAATCTGTATCAGTATTTTTGTGGTATATTTCTTAGATGTTAGAAATGGGTTCTGACAGGTGATTACTCTGCTTTTGTTATTCTTGCCCCCCCCACCCCCAATTTTCTGAATTATTTTTACACATGTTAAGAAGGAGCCAATAGTGAGACTATATGGTAGTAATGGTACCCATAGAGCCAGGAGTTCTAAAAGGATAACTGTGTCTTATTCTAGCATAGATAATATATCCTGAGTGGTTACAATTTGGAACCTGCTTTTAAAAATACTTCCTGTGGTACTCGTGGGTCCTATTATGAAGGAGTGTTAACTTACTTGAAATTCATAGTAGATTTGGTGGTTATATTTTGATGTTACCATGTTTTATTGTGTGGGCATTAAATACTCTTCATCAGCAAGCTTAGAGTCAAACTAAAAAATAAAGCAAGAAGAAACTTCTGATCAGAACCAAAGTTATTGCTGTGGGTTACCTATTAAGCCTTGTCTTGTGAGTTAGACCTTGTAGGAATATGTTGAAGTAAGTGAAAGCACTATTATAAGCGAAACACATCAGTCAAATTACATGTTTTCTCAATTCAGATAATATCTTTGATCACAGAGCATTGCTAGTTATATTTGAAACTGTAGAATTCTAAAATGTAGAAAACCTATTGGATTCCATATTTTTTTCCTCTAAACATTATAAAAAATATTCTCAATATGGAAAGTTACTTTGGGAACTTATAAGGAACCTTTCTAACAGTTTGAGCCTTCAGTTAATTGACAGTTGCAAGCAAGGATAATTGCAGGTGGCCCATTGGGAGTACCTTAAGCCTGCTGTGGCCTGGTGTAACCTGATGTCATCAACAGTTAAATGAATTGAAGCAACACCATTCACCTGCAAAAAAAATTTTAAACTCTAATGTGTGTGTGGGTATATGATTGGTAATTGCAGACTTGTGTTTTATTTAGATTTTAAAAATTGTAGACCTTTTATGTATCAATACATAACTATAAAATATACTACAAAATACATTGAAATTCTTAAGATTAAAAAGGAGAGGAAATTCATTAATAAATTGTGTTTTATTTCTAGTGTCTGCAGAAGCCAAACCTGAACACAGACACAAAGGACAAGGAGTACAAACCTCATGATATTCCCCAGAGGCAGTCTGTGCAGCCCTCAGAAACATGTCCCCCAGCCCGACGAGCAAAACGCATGAGAGCAGAGGTGAGGGCCTCATGAGGTTCATTAGACAGAATTCGTGAGCCCTCGTACCAATGTCTAACTGGATTTCTCTCCTGCGTGTGCTCTTCATAGTTTTGAACCTTGTTAACTGTAGACTCTTGTCTTATTAACTCTTGTTAACTGTTTGTACTCTAGCTTTTACACTTGGGTGGGGGGGGGACTCTGCTGTCAAAGGGATTAGGGATCGAAGGACTCTCTAGGTTTATGCTGCCTGGACAGACAGCTGCTTTATTTGCAGAATTAAGAAGAAGAGGGGTTCATTATGATGATGTTTGGTTTGCCTGTTACCCTCATGAAGTTGGGCAGTGTTTATTGGGTGATTAAGGCTAAGGAATAGAGAACTGAGACAAAATAATTAGGAAGCATGGGGGTTGAGGCATTTAATACATAAGATAAAAGAACAGAAGACCAGGAGGCATGAACTGATGAGAAAGACAGTTTACTTCAAGATTTTTCTGCTCTGAGAGGTTTCCCTTGGGAAAGGAAGAAGAGTATTTTCCCACTTACCTTGTTTCCATACAGAGATAGGAATTTTGGGGTTCTTGCCTAGCTTGATGGACATGTAAGTGTTAGGAATCAGTGATAATGTATGAGAGCATCTTGGAACTGGGAAGCTTCGTGGCGGTAATCAGGTGTCTAAATCAGTCTCTGATTATTAGTAATTATTGGTCAAGATGAAAAAGAAAACAGCTACTGAGCACATCTTGATCTTTCAATGTATAAGAGATGCCCGGGTGCTATGGATGCCTAGGTTTGCCTTGATGAGAGAAACATAGGGTGATGATAGCACCCTGGGAGAAATTTTATCATCAGTGGACATCTGAATACATACGAATGAACACAGGCAAAAACGATCATATATAGTTCTACAAACACCTCACAAAGGTTGTTTTATTGATAAGTATTACCTCTTTAAGAAACGTTGGAAATTGAGACCAGTTTAAGGATAGGGGAATCCTTATAATTTAGTGATGTTAGAAGAGTAGCTTGTAATAACAATTTAATTGGTTCCTGATCCTTTGATTCTTCCCTATTTTTTTGACCTGTCAAAGTGGAGATACTCTTGTAACTTCTAAGATCTTTGTTCTTTCCATAAATAATAGTAATTTTAAGGGTAGATCTCCATGGGGAGAGAGAAGAATGTTTGGAATGTTTATTAATAGAGACAATTTATAAGATTGTAGTCACCTTGAGATTTCAGTTGGATTTTAAAAGATACCTTTTTTGAAAGGAAATATTTATGTATATGACAATTTTTTTAAAGGCCATGAATATTAAAATAGAACCAGAAGAGACCACAGAAGCCAGAACTCATAACCTGAGACGACGAATGGGCTGTCCAACAACCAAATGTGAAAATGGTAAGAAGGTTTATCCATGAGTAGGAAAGAAGTATAAAGTAAATTAGTAAAAATCATTCATTTGTTAATTAAGGAAACATTTATAACAACTATTAAATACTAGTCAGTGGGGTTGAGCCCCGAAATAAAATCTTAATATGTTAATGTCTCTAGACTCAATAGTACCCAGTAAAAGTAAACAGATGATGATATGCATATTAGAAATATGATTGAGTTTCTCAGCTGTCACCAATTACTACTTTGAAATTTGGTTAAATGGCATTCGTTGAAAAGAAGTGATTTCTGAGCGCCATAGGTGCTTTTGTTTTTTTTTGTTTTTTTTTTTCATTTTTTTTTTCATTTTATTTCATAGGTGCTTTTGACAAGATATGTGATAAGTTTATTTCAGGCATGGCAGGTAGACATGGTTTCTAAATCTGAGTTTTAGTTGGTAATTGCTTGGCTGGCCGTTGTTGTCAGTCACTGAGAGATAAGGTCAGGACTATTAAAAAAACTTTTTTTTTTTTTAAAGATTCTATTTATTTATTCATGAGAGACACACACACAGAGAGAGGCAGAGACACAGGCAGAGCAAGAAGCAAGCTCCATGCAGGGAGCCCGATGTGGGAATCGATCCTGGGACTCCAGAATCAGGCTCTGGGCCGAAGGCAGGCGCTCAACCGCTGAGCCACCCAGGGATCCCCTATTAAAAAAAATCTTAGGGATCCCTGGGTGGCGCAGTGGTTTGGCGCCTGCCTTTGGCCCAGGGCGCGATCTTGGAGACCTGGGATCGAATCCCACATCGGGCTTCCGGTGCATGGAGCCTGCTTCTGCCTCTCTCTCTCTCTGTGACTATCATAAATAAATAAAAATTTAAAAAAAAATTAAAAAAAAAAACTTAAATCCTATATAGACAGGCACATAGAAATGAAGACGTTATTAAAATTAGTTTGTCTTAGTGGCTGGTGAGTTTAGTGGAAAGGCAGCACAATGTAGTGAAAAGTAGATGGATTTTTAAAAATATACATCTGAATCTGATTCCTGGCTTAAGCACTAATGGGTTTATGACCATAGGTATTTCTTGACTTCTTTTACTGTCCATTTTCTTATCTTTTTTTTTTTTAAAGATTTTATTTATTTATTCATAGAGACACAGACAGAGAGAGGGGGCAGAGACACAGGCAGAGGGAGAAGCAGGCTCCATGCAGAAAGCCTGATGTGGGACTCGATCCAGGGTCTCCAGGATCACGCCCTGGGCTGCAGGCGGCGCTAAACCGCTGTGCCACCGGGGCTGCCCCATTTTCTTATCTTTGAAATGGATTTGTTGCAAAAGGTTAAATCTATGGAAAGCATTTAGCACAGCACCCACCATAGGATAGATCATTAATTCATAGCCAAAATTCTCAGTCTTTGGAACTGAAAAGTTGGGGGTAGTAAGTGGTCATAGGTTATGGAGGGATAATCTCTAATGTGGAGGAGGTGCAGTTGGTATATTGTTAGTCTCTTACAGTTAATATTAGCAGGAACCTCCTTTCATCAATGTGTGTCTTGTCTCGGTAACATATCATTAAGGAGACTGTATCTTTTAAAAGCCTACAAACCTTAGCAACAACTCCAGAAGTACCCATATCCAGAATTGCCTACATTTAAATGGTGTGAGAGTTTGCATTTTATCATAAAGTAATCAGCACCAGCCCTTGAATGTGGTAATACTGGGTGTTGCTGCTCTTGCATTGAAAAGAACAAGAAGTTGTCTGTGTCCTGTGTGTGGTTTGGGGAGGGAGAGGTGAGAGGTGCGGGAGCAAGGTGAGCAAAGTGTAGTACAGGAAGCACTAACTCGGATTGCCTCTTACAGAAAAAGAAATGAAAGGCATCCTCAAGCAAGAACCCACTGAGAAGAAAGAACACATTATAGAAAGCGAGAAGGAAAAACCCAAGAGCCGATCTAAAAAAACCACCAATGCTGTGAGTTGACATTTTAAAACACTTTTACCCTCATTTTGTCCTTCTATGCCTCACTTAAGACTACTAGCTTCGAGTGTCACAATTTAAAAGACCTTTTCATGTCCATTTATAGTATCAGTTTTTAATTGAGGAAATACACAAATGCATTATGAGGCTAATAGCATATAGGGAGCATCCACAGCCATTTTTCTGGAGTTCATGCAGTTTAGAGATAAATAATGGTGAGCTGGATCATATATGGAATGTTCATAAATCACTAGGTCACCTCCAAATGAGCTGAGAGCTAGATCAAAAATCAAGTTGATGTTTTCCAACTTTACGATAGGGAAGGAAAAGGAAAGGAGTTGGGATAGGAACGGAGGCCTCAGCAAAACTTGGAGGACTAGGCAGCCATTTACTGAAATGGAAACTGAAAAGTAAGGCTTGAGGACATTACAGAACATCTGGTTGCTTTTCTTCTCTGTCCTCTTCTCAGAGCTCAGTGAGTAGCTTGACCACAATGCTTTTTTTTTTTTTTTTTTAAATTTTTATTTATTTATGATAGTCACAGAGAGAGAGAGAGGCAGAGACACAGGTAGAGGGAGAAGCAGGCTCCATGCACTGGGAGCCCGACGTGGGATCTGATCCCGGATCTCCAGGATCACGCCCCAGGCCAAAGGCAGGCACCAAACTGCTGCACCACCCAGGGATCCCGACCACAATGCTTTTTATCTTGGAATTTGGAATTATTCCGATTAGGCGTAGTTCTATTCATAAATATCATTTCCTCCCTCCCCACCAAAGCAAAAAACAAAACAAAACAAAAAAAAAACACAATCAGAAAATGATCAGAAACCAGGTTTTTATTTGCTACAACAAAAAGACTGAAAAAGTAAGATTCCCGGATTAGTTGAGTTCTTAGCTTTCCATTTTATTGGGTAATGGTATTAGTTTGCAAGGTATTAGTCTGCCATAACAAAGTACCACAGACTGTGTGGCTTAACCAACAGAATTTCTTTTCTCAGCCTTCTGGAGGCTGCAGGTCTAAGACCAAGGTGTCTGTAGGGTTGGTTTTTTCGTGAACCCTGTCTCCTTTGCTTATAGGACGTCTTCTCCCTGTCTTCACATGGCTTTCCTCTGTACCTGTCTATGTCCTTATCTCTTCTTTTTTTTTTTTTAATTTTTATTTATTTATGATAGTCACACAGAGAGAGAGAGAGAGAGAGAGAGAGAGAGAGAGAGAGAGAGAGAGGCAGAGACATAGGCAGAGGAAGAAGCAGGCTCCATGCACTGGGAGCCCAATGTGGGATTCGATCCCGGGTCTCCAGGATCGTGCCCTGGGCCAAAGGCAGGCGCTAAACCGGGGCGCCACCCAGGGATCCCCCTTATCTCTTCTTGAATACTAATCATACTGCATTATTTTACCTTAACCTCTTTAAAGACCCTGGTTCCAAATATAGTCACATTCTGAGATAACTGGAAGTTAAGACAGTAAGATATGAATTTGGGGAGACCACAGTTCTGTCCATAATAGGTAATATGTGTGTATGTGTGTATTTATTTATTTATTTGTATTTCTTTTTATTACTATGTATTTGAGGAACTTGTTAACCATGAACCCTTAATTAAAATATAAAGGAATTTATTTATTATTATTTTTTAAATATAAATATATATGGTTAATTAAGCATTTTTCTTTCCCTTTAAATGTGGCAAAGTTGAGTTTTTTTTCCTTATAAATTCTAGTTTTGGTTAAGCTGATAAATTTATTGCCCAACATGTTCTTTTTCTAGATTATCGTTCTCCAAGCTACTAGAAGCTTGATATCTTAGTAACAAATCTTAAAACAGCTGAGGGGCACCTGGACAGCACAGTTGGTTTAGCATCCAACTTTTGATTTTGGTTCAGGTTGTGATCTCATAGGTCGTAGGATGGAGCCCCACTTCTGGCTCTGTACTTAGCCAGAGTCTGCTTGAGATTCTCTCTCCTCTTCCTCTACCCCTCCCATGCATGTGCATTCTCTCTCTCTCTCTCTCTAATGTATGTTTGGTTTTTTTTTAAAGAGAGAGAGGGTCAGTGGGGCATGAGATCTCAGATTATGACCTGAGCCAAAATCAAGAGTTGGATGCTTAACTAAGCCACCCAGGCGCCCCTAAATTTAAAAAAAAAAATCTTTAAAAAAAACCACACAGCTGAAAATGTTTTGAGATTACACTTTAGTGTTGGGAATGCCTTAAGCATTGTAAAGTATCTCTAATAAAAGAAGAAGCATTTTTATTTAAAATACTTCTTCTGGGGGATCCCTGGGTGGCGCAGCGGTTTAGCGCCTGCCTTTGGCCCAGGGTGCGATCCTGGAGACCCGGGATCGAATCCCACGTCGGGCTCCCGGTGCACGGAGCCTGCTTCTCCCTCTGCCTGTGTCTCTGCCTCTCTCTCTCTCTCTCTGACTATCATAAATAAATAAAAATTTAAAAAAATTATTAAAAAAAATAAAATAAAATAAAATACTTCTTCTGGGGGTGACACATTTTCATTTGAAAGATAGAAAAACTAGATTATGCCTCTCTCCGTTGCATCCTTAGAATCTGACAAAATCAAATGTAGCTCATGCTCCTTGGTTTTGTACCTATTTTATTGCTGCAGGTGGATCTTTATGTCTGCCTCTTATGTGGCAGTGGCAACGATGAAGACCGGCTTCTCTTGTGTGATGGGTGTGACGACAGTTACCACACCTTTTGCTTGATCCCACCTCTCCATGATGTTCCCAAGGGAGACTGGAGGTGTCCTAAGTGTTTGGCTCAGGTAAGAACTAATGGCAGAGATAGCATTAGAAAATTTCCTTTGGGGGGGCAGCCTAGGTGGCTCAGCGGTTTAGCCCCACCTTCAGCCCAGGGTGTGATCTTGGAGACCCAGGATTGAGCCCCACAACGGGCTCCCTGCATGGAGACTGCTTCTCCCTCTGCCTGTGTCTCACCTGTCTCTCTGTCTCCCTGCCTCTCTCTCTATCTCTCATGAATAAATAAATAAAATCTTAAAAAAAAATAATAAAAGAAAATTTCCTTCGGGGCACCCCGGGGGCTCAGTGGTTTAGCGCCGCCTTCAGCCCGGGTTGTGATCCTGGAGACCCGGGATCAAGTCCCATGTCGGGCTCCCTGCGTGGAGCCTGCTTCTCCCTCTGCCTGTGTCTCTGCCTTTCTCTCTCTCTCTCTCTCTCTATGTGTGTGTCTCTCATGAATAAATAAATAACAAAATCTTTAAAAAACAAAAAACAAAAAAAATTTCATTTAGGATGTTTTTTGTTTGCTTTTGGGTTTTAGATTTAGCAATTGATAACAGTGAGGCTCATGAAAAAAAGTGGCCTGACTAGGAAGGAGGTCTTGGCAGTGAGTCCCACGAGCTATGCAAGGAGCTAAGAGGCAGAAAAAAAATTTTAACTATTCTTAAAAAAGAAAAAAAAAATTGTGGCGGGGACCCCCAGGTGGCTCAGAGGTTGAGTGTCTGCCTTTGGCCCAGGGTGTGATCCCAGTGTCCTGGGATCGAGTCCCACATTGGGCTCCTTGCGGGGAGCCTGCTTCTCCCTCTGCCTTGTCTCTGCCTCTCTCTCTATGTGTCTCGTGAATAAATAAAATCTTTACCAAAATTTTTTTTTCATTTGAAAAAGCATTGCATGGTCTTTGCAAAAATTCTTAGACTGAATGACTTAAAAATAGTATGATTTCACAATTGATAGACAACAGTTCTTTTGATCTTTATCAATCCAGACTTTTCTGGTAGAATTACTTATGTAGTGTTTGTTTAAAATAATCTGTTTTTAAAAAATACTTAAAAATATTACTATATGTAAGTAAAAATATTCTTTTTACCTTTTTTTTTCTTTTTGGCAGGAATGTAGTAAGCCACAAGAAGCATTTGGCTTTGAACAAGCAGCCAGAGATTATACCCTCCGTACTTTTGGGGAAATGGCGGATGCATTCAAATCTGATTATTTCAACATGCCAGTCCATGTATGTACATACATACTGCTTTGATTTGGGATTTTAATAACTTTTAGAAAAAAGGTATATGAAGACGATTTCCCTTGGTACTTACTTTTGATAATCGTTATCATAAACAGTGAAACCTTTAATTTGTTTAGTGGTATTAAAAGTCCACGTTACATTAAAATGCATTCTGGTTTTTCACTTGATTTCTCTAAAGATGGTCTTTGCCACACAAATCATACAGCAGGAATAACAATGTTAATAAAGGAAATCATCAGGAATCTTTTTAGTTCAACAAATTTAATTTAAAGAAAACTTCACAATTTCTTGAATGATTCCTCTGTGCCAGTCATCATGCTGTGAATTGGGAACCCATTATATATTGTTATGTTCACATAAGTTGGTATCTTAAAACTTTAAGATGACTATATTTTAAATTCTCTTTTACGCTCTTAGAAGAAGCATGAACATTTTTCATTAAGCATTTAACATTCCATCAAGTGAATACACCAGAATTGAATGGTTTTCTGCCATAATACTGGACACTTAAGCTGTTTTCTTTTTTTTCTCCCCAACAAAGTACTATAACTGACCCTTCACACATGTAGGTCTCTTTTTAGTTGGATTGCTTTCTTGGGATGCTTACTGAGGTCAGTATTTATCCACTTTTTCCCCACTTTAATGGCTGTTATCATTTATGGGAACCCATAATGTATGTGTGAACTTGTTTTTCCTGATAGTACTGACGAAAGCTGTTAAGTTATTTAAAATGCTTACTTAATGAGCTTATAAATTCAAGTTATACTTTATTTGACTTTCAGTTATTTTGGCCCCTCTTACATTGTATGATTTCCCCGTATGTTTGCTTAACTAGTCGTGGTGGTGCGTATATGACCTCTCTTTTTCTATCCTTGGTTGGCTTTTTATTTTACTTAGAAGATGAGGACTTTGAGGACATTGAGGCATTTAAGTTCCCTTTCTCTAAACTTGCATCAGATTAATAACAGATCCTAGACACTCAGTCTCGTGGCTCTTTATATGACTACATGCTGCTGCAAAGTAGTTGCTCCTTTTGTTCAATTTTGCACTCTTTTTCATCATGGTTGCCTGCATTACTCTCAGCTAGGTCATTAATGAAAGGATGGACTCAGGTAATGTGTTATAGCACATTTCAAAGGACGAAGTATGATTCAAACACAGCTATTATTACTGTATAATGGTCAACCAAGTTATATTTCTCACCCACAAAAACCTCTAGTTTTTGAATGTCAGAATTTAGCTTTCCTTGACTCCCTTTTAGTATAGTGGTCAGGTTGGTGATTTAGGAGCATATATTCTTAATCAGTACTTAACTCTTTTAGTTATAAAATTGCTTTTAGAAATTGTTTCCCATGTCTGAACTGCCTGGGATCAATTGTGGAACATTATGTTTATAATTTTCCTTAGGGTGCTGTCTTGTGATTTCTGTCATTTAGCTTATCTTTTCAGATTGGTCATGGGTAGTTTGTGAGTGTCTGTGAAAAAATTCAGTTTCTTGTCTTCCTCCTTGTTTTGTTTCCAGATGGTTCCCACAGAACTAGTTGAGAAAGAATTTTGGCGACTGGTAAGCACTATTGAAGAGGATGTCACAGTAGAATATGGAGCTGATATTGCCTCAAAAGAATTTGGCAGTGGCTTCCCTGTCCGAGATGGGAAAATTAAACTTTCACCTGAAGAGGAGGTAGGCTCTAGGTGTGAGGCACTTCTCTTTCAAGCAGAGGCCTGTATTTAAAATAAAGCTAATAGTTCAGGATATCTTTATCTAAAAGGCATAGTACAGGACTTACTGTATTTACTGCCTACTGCATACATATATGTAGTTGGAACTTGAATTATTTATTAAAATTCTATTTGGTTGGCTCGAAATAATTTATGACTACTTTCAGCACATTCTTGATTACCGGATTTTTTTTTTAGGATTTTATTTATTTATCGATGAGAAACACACACAGAGAGAGGCAGAGACACAGGCACAGGGAGAAACAGTGTCCATGCAGGGAGCCCAACATGGGACTTGATACCTGGTCTCCAGGATCAGGCCTTGGGCCGAAGGCAGGCGCTAAACCGCTGAGTGACCTGGGCTGCCCGATTACCAGATTTTAAAAAATCTTTATGTATTGATTTGAGACAGAGACAAGCAAGGGAGAAGGATAAGCAGACTCCTTGCTGAGTGGGGAGCCTGACACGGGGCTTGATCCCAGCACTCCTGAGATCATGACCTGAGCCAAAACCAAGAGTAGGATGTTTAACCGACTAAGCCACCCAGGTGCCCCTGATTACCAGATATTGAATGACTTTGAGAAAAACAGAAAGAGCCCACAGAGGAATTCAGGTCCCAGTTGTTCAACTATATTGTGATGATATGGGGAGATTACTTAACCTCCCTTTGCCTTTAGTCTGTAACTTGGTATTGCCTTCCAATGAAAATTTGAGGGATTGAGGCCAGACCTAAATTTATCTTTGAACTTTAGTGTTTATAAATCTATCATTTGCCACAATAACAAACTTCTAGGAAGTTTTCTATTCCTATCCTAGTAGGAAGTCAGGTTTTTTTAAACCACTTTGAAATCTGACAGATACATAGAAAAGTACATAATCATGTGCACACCTTGATGAATTTTCACAAACTGAATGCACCCATGTAACCAGCACTAGAACAAGAATTAGGACTTTACCAAACCTTACCCCAGAAGTTCCCCCTTTTGTCTTCCCCTCTTTTACTACCTTCTCTGTCGCAGGACTACCACTATCCTGTCTTACAACACCACAGATTAGTTTGCCTGTTTTTGAACTTGGTATAAATGGACTCATACTGTGTATTTTCTCTGTAGCCAACACAAGGGCGTGACCAAATGCAAAAGTATATGCTATATGAATCTATTTATATTAAAGCTCAAAACTGAGCATCTAATCTATGGGCATCTAAGAAGTTAGCATAGTGGTCTCCCCTCCTTTTCTCTGACCCCAACCTTTTTATTTTGAAGACTTTTCAGCCAGCTTTTTGAAGCATTCAGAATCTAAAATGTTAGCATGATATGGCTAAACCTTTATACCTTTTTGGTGTCCTTTTTAGGAATATCTTGATAGTGGCTGGAATTTGAACAATATGCCAGTGATGGAGCAGTCTGTCCTTGCTCACATTACTGCTGATATATGCGGCATGAAACTTCCTTGGTTGTATGTGGGAATGTGCTTTTCTTCATTCTGTTGGCATATTGAAGACCACTGGAGTTACTCCATTAACTACCTGCACTGGTAAGAAGTTCTTCATAACCTACGCATAGGATGTAAGCTGGGCTAGAAACTTTTTAAGTGTGTCTGAAGTGTAACAAACTATTTTTTCCTTAAGTTTTCACTACTCTTGAAATAAGCATCTTAATAAGTTAAGGAAGTGGTTCTGAAAGATTCCTAGGAAATCCGTAAATCCCCTGAAATTGCACACAGTTTTTCAAGTATAACATGTTTTTGGGGAGGGGGATTTATATACAGCTTTTAGTGAAAGAAGCTTTCACTCATGGCAAGATTAAAAAGCACCGAGCATTGCTTTTACTATCTAGAAGTCCCATCACGTGGCAGTGGCAGCCCAGATACCCCTGGGAAAACTGGTGGAGAATAGGACCCACCGTCCTCCAGGTCCTCGGGACTGCCAGCTTCTGTTTTGTGCTGAATTCTGACAGTCATTACCGTAGAAAGGGCTTCTTCAGTGTGCGCGTGTGTGGTGGCAGAGTACAGATAGACTTTTCAATTAAACTTTTTAAACTCTTTAGCCAAAACCATTTCTTCTTTCACATCTGTTTTTACCCCCTCCATTTCCTTTGCTTTTCTAAGTACGGAAGTATTTGAAGATCTGTAACTCACTTAAAAGCCCCTACAAGGAATTTGAGGGATGTACCACAAGAAAGAGCGAGTTGGGAAATATATGTGGAGCATCAGTTCTGTCTCCCTAGGCAATTGCTCCCAGCTGTAAAATGAAGATTATATTTACCATATCTCATAGGGATGTTACAGATTAATTGGTCGACAGTTTAAAGTGCTTTGAAGAATAAGAGCTCTTTAGAAATGCTAATTGCCTTATTAGTGTTTGATTTAACCTCGCTTGTCAGAATGGATGAGGGAAAAGGAAGATGGAGAGTTGCCATCCCTTGTCAGTTGCTATACGAAATTGTGGTAACCACATACCCTGTAGCTAGCGTGATATCTTATATTCTTAGAAATTCTAGATACTTATATTTTCTAAAGAGTCATATAAAAATGGGAGGGAGAAGAGTGACCTCAGATGGAAAGTCTCATATTTAAACTATACTTGAAGGGGGGAAATGCATCACATATGTTTAGATCACATTTCTAATGACACTTACTCAGTTTGAACATTCCTTTGTAGCATAATATTACAAAGCAGGGCCTGAAAAATACAGCTTGTTAACCATTTTGTTGGTGTTAAGAGTTGCAGACTGATTTTTTTCTAATGAAATTTCATGTTTTTGTATTTCTTAAGATTGATTTATTTTTACAATCTGTTTCCAGGGGTGAGCCAAAAACCTGGTATGGAGTCCCAGGGTATGCTGCCGAGCAGCTAGAAAATGTAATGAAGAAACTAGCTCCAGAGCTCTTTGTGTCCCAGCCAGATCTTCTCCATCAGCTTGTGACCATCATGAACCCCAATACCCTGATGACTCATGAAGTGCCTGTATGTTCTGGGTCAATCTTCCTGCACTCAGGCTTAATCCACCACTTCTCTTTCTTGTTACTCAGTTTTTTATGAAGTTGGTTTAGTTACCTGTGTCCCATACCATAACTAGATAGCAGAAGCAGCTGTGCTGTTTGGTGGAATATGATACTATATTGCAGCAAGCCAATAAGACTGGATCCTTGGACACCATAAAAACTAATTTGTTGTGGTTAATAACTAGGTTGCTAAGCAGCCATATTTTGCAAATATTAAATGTGATGCTTCCTTTTCTTTTTCAGTGTCTAATTCAGGCTTTTTAAATTATAATTTTTCTTATAACTTCAGTCTTTCAGTGCAACAAAACAAAAAACCTTGGTGTTATTTGTATGATTTACTGTGAAAATGTCTAGGTTCTGTTACAATTAGATCTAAACTCTAGTGTCAGAATCCTTCATACCCTGTCCGTACTTAAAAAAATAATTTATGGAATCTATATGAACTAAATCTTGAATGATAAACTGAAATGATTTGCATGCTTAGTAGATAATAGTTATATTATACCTCCACCCCTAATTAAGCTTGTTTATTTATTTTAAAGATTTTTATTTATTTGAGAGAGAAAAAGAGTGCGAGTGTCCTTGAGTAGGGAGGGGAGGGGCAGAGGGAGAGGGAGAATCAGGCTTCTCACTGAGCAGGGCGCTGGGACCTGGGGCAGGGGCTGAGGGTGGCGGCAGGGGGGCGGGGTGCTCTATCCCAGGATCCAGAGATCATGACCTGAGCTGAAGGCATGTGCCCCTACCGAGAAAGTTAATTTCAAGTCCTTGAGCTTGGATTCTAGACTGAAAGGTGCTGTTGCTGATATTGCCTCTGATGCTCCTCTACAAAGCGACACTTATTTGTATATAGGCTTCCTGTTGGAGAATGCTCTGAAGATATTTTATGAGACCAGATATGAATGATAACATTTTCTGTGCTAAAGTGAATTCCTGATGATGTGACCTAAACTTCATGCCTTGGGGTTCATAAGCTAGTAAATGAGGGCAGATGCAAAAGTTTTTTCTTTGAGGGATTAAAATTATTTATGGACAATAGCTTAAAAAATAATGATCAGTAACTCCCAAAATGCCGTCATCTCCACGTTGTTGGTATTTTCCACATTGAAGTTTTCCCATTCATATTGATTGATCTTTCTGTTTTGTTATAAGTAACTTGCCCCTAAATGAGACCTTTTGCCATGGTTCTCCATTATTCAATTGAGGAACCCTTGGGGCTTGATTCTGGGCCATAGAAATAACATGAGTGAATCTGTGCATTTGAGGACTCTCAATTTAAGGGAAAAGACAGATAATGTTTACACAGATTATGGCATGGTGGTGTGGTTTGACAGGGGTGTCAACAAGGTAGCTGACCTTTTAACTCTGTGGAGAATTAGAAAGGACCTATAGTGACCATTTGAACTAATAAGACTTGGAGCTCTACTAAGGAATACTTTTGGCGGATTTGGGGTGGAAGGGAGAAGGTACTCCCAGTCCAGTAGAAGGGAATTGTACTTGTGTGGTGGGTAGTGGTTTTCAAACTTCTGACTATATCTGAATCCTGAATGGCAGGTGACAGTACACTTGGCTGAACCTCACCCCCACAGTTCTTGGGTGTTTTTTTTTTTTTTTTTTTAAGATTTTATTTGTTCATGAGAGACACAGAGAGAAGCAGAGACACAGGCAGAGAGAGAAGCAGGCTCCTCCAGGAGCCCAGTGTGGGACTTGATCCCTGAACCATGGGATTATGCCCTGAGCCGAAGGCAGACGCTCAGCTCAGCCTTTGAGCTAACCAGGTGTCCCCAGAGTTTCTTGTTCTGTTGGTCTGGGTGGTGCTTGAGAATTGGCATTTCTAAAAAGTTTCCAGTTGGTGTTGATACTGTTAGTTTGGGAACTGCATTTTGAACAACTGTTGATGTAGAAAGATATATTGAAATGATATTTAATTATTTCATAAATTCAATCTGAGGATTTGTGTGCTTGGATTAATAAGGATTTTTTTTATTTAAAAAGACTTTATTGAAGTATAGTTGACATCATTAGTTTCAGTTGTACATCATAGTGACTTGACAGTTCTATATATTGCAAAATGCTCACTACAGTAAGTGTAGTTATCATCTGTCACCAGGTAGTTATTGACTATATTCCCTATGCTCTACTTTCATCCTTGTGACTTACTTTTATTACTTTTTTTTATAACTGGAAGTTTGTACCTCTTAATCTCATTCTGCCCATGCCCCCAATCCCCTCCCCTCTGGCAATCACCAGTTGGTTCTCTGTATTTGAGTCTGTTCCTGGTTTTGTTTTGTTTTTTAGATTACATAAAAATGAAATCATGATATTTTCTTTCTCTGACTTATTTCATTTAGCATAATACTCTCTGGGTCCATCCATGTTGTGAACAGCAAGATTTTTTTTTATGGCGGAGTATTAATAATATACAAACATTCCTTTGCATATTTATACTATGTCTTTACTCCCATCTATCAATGGACACTTAGATTGCTTCCATATCTTGGTCATTGTAAATAATGTTGCATTGAACACAGGGGTACACATATTTCCACAGTGGCTGCACCAATTTACTTCCCACCAACAGTATACGAAGGTCCCCTTTTCTCCACATCCTCGCCAACACTTGTTGTCTTTTTGTTATTAGCCATTCTAATAGATGAGCGAAGACCTCTCACTGTGGTTTTGATTTGCATTTTTTTTTTTTTTTTGATGATTAGGGACATTGAGCATCTTTTCATGTACCTGTTGGCTATCTGTATAGCTTTTTTGGCAAGATGTCTATTCAGGTCTATTTTTCAATTAGATGATGATTATTGGTGTTGATTTAAATGAGTTCTTTATATATTCTGGATATTAACCCCTATTGGATATATCATTTGCAGATGTCTTCTCCCATTCAGTAGCTTGCCTTGCCTTTTCATTTTTATTGATGGTTTGTTTCCTTTGCTGTGCAAAAGCTTTTTAGCTTGCTGTAGTCCCAAGAGTTTATTTTTGCTTGTTTCCCTTACCTAAGGAGACCTATCCAGAAAAATATTGCTAAGGTTGACATCCAAGAGATTGCTGCCTTAATACAGGTGTTTTTTTGAGTTGGGGTGGGAAAAGGAATTGGAGGGAGGTAAGCTTGATGGCTATAATAAGATCTCTTTATGGGATGACATACTTGAAAAACAGTGGAATTTCATTAATTGGTGGTAAAAGATGCTATTTTGGTATAATAATATTAGAATACTCGTAATTGTAGTTATATTTAGATGTGTCCTAATCCTGGATGTAGCCAATTTTTGTAGTAAAATCCATGTTTTCTATTTATATCCTAATCAACCCTCATAGTCTGGAATACTACTCCATCTTGTGGCCGAATAGAGTATCTCTATGATCATTCTACCATAATTCTTTTTGTTGGCTCACTTGTAATTAGAAGAAAGCTTCTCTTTCTGGAATATCATCTGATAGTCTGTGTCCAGATTGTCTTTCACGAATGTCACTAAAAATCCCCAATTTCTGTCTTCTAGGTTTACCGAACTAATCAGTGTGCTGGGGAGTTTGTGATTACATTTCCAAGAGCCTACCACAGTGGTTTTAATCAAGGTTTTAATTTTGCTGAGGCTGTTAACTTCTGCACTGTCGATTGGGTATGTAATTATGACTTAGCCTTTTTGAATGTATTGTTTTCCTACAGAAGTGCAGTATATGATACTTGAGAAGCTTTCATGTGTGTGGTTGCTTAAACCTGTTGCTCCTCAAATGGCTGGTCTACAAATTGATTACCATCCACAGTGGGGTAAAGCACTTGGCACCACATATCAAGCCTGTACTGACTATGCACACTGCTCAGTTCAGCTGATAAGTTTTTCTTCTGTAAAAGTGAGACTTGATGAATAAATGAGTCTGTTGATTTACATTTTGGGAAAATTCAGTATCTCATTGCAAACTTGTAACAAAAAGTTCATTCAGTCTTAAGCCTATGTAACACTAGTTTAAATTTAATGTATAATACAGCAATTTTTAATGATGCATTTGGTTTTAGTTGTAAGGTGGAATTTTTATATTGGTATTAATACTTTTCTTTTACATAAAAAGATCTAGTTCAAGTGTGTGATGTTAAATTTAACGAATTATAACCTTGTTTCAGTGCTTTACTGAGTAATAGTACTACCTGTACCTGAAATTATTTTCCATTATATAGTTTAGAGCATCGTTAATTCCCTGAAGCAGGTTTAAGTCAGCATAGTTATTTCAGGAAATGTGTAAATTCTCATGTCCAGTTAGATGGTACACTGAACATTGACACGTTGTTAATACATTGGGTTTTTTAAAAATGTCTTTATTTATTAATCTCTACACCCAAAGTGGGGCTGGAACTCATGACCCTGAGATTGAGTTGCATGCTTTTTTTTTTTTACTGAGCCAGCCAGGCACCACCGTACATTGGGTTTTTTAAACTACTTTTTAATTAGATACCTGACATGCCAGAGCTTTGAGATGCAAAGGCTAGAAAAGGGCCAAGCCCTCTTAGAGTCTGGCTATAGGGTTGATAAATGTATTATGACCCAGAATATGCTCTTTGGTAATGTGATAATGATCAGAAGTCTTTGGAAATAAAAAGGAGAAAGTAAGATGAATGTCACGTATTATCCTCTGTCTTTTGAAACAGCTGCCATTAGGCCGACAGTGTGTGGAGCATTATCGCTTGCTTCACCGCTATTGTGTATTTTCCCACGATGAGATGATTTGCAAGATGGCTTCCAAGGCTGATGTACTAGATGTCGTAGTGGCTTCAACTGTTCAGAAAGATATGGCCATTATGATTGAGGATGAGAAAGCTTTAAGAGAAACTGTTCGTAAATTGGTAAGATTTCTGGAATCCCAATTGGTGTGTCTCTGGATATTACTTAGTAAAATTCTTACATTAATCTCATTTTAAGAAGTCTTTTCTTAGGCTAATTTCCTTTAAGACCCATTCTGGAGATGCCTGGTGGCTCAGTGGTTGAGTGTCTGCCTTCGGCTCAAGGCGTGACCCTGGGGTCTGGGGATGGAGTCCCACATCGGGCTCCTTGCTATGAGCCTGCTGCTTCTCCCTCTGCCTGTGTCTCTGCCTCTCTCTGTGTCTCTCTTGAATAAATATATATTTGAAAAAGAAAAAGACCCATTCTGATAGATGTGTATTAATATCTCATTTTGGTTTTCATTTTCTCTAATGGCCACTGATTTACTGAACATCCTATCATGTATGTACTTATTTACTACTTGTGTATGTATCTCTTCAGTGAAGCGTCTGTTCATATATTTTGTTGCCCATCTCCTTTTTTTATTGGATTGTTGTGAGATTTCCATTCATTCTGTATACCAGTCCTTTATCAAATGAGTGTTCTGCAAGTATTTTCTTTCAGTCAGTTGATTATCTTTTTTTTTCTCAGAGCAGTGTCTTTCTAATTGATGAAGTTCAATTAAGCAGTTGTTTCTTTTATGCATCTTTTTTTTAAAGATTTTATTTATTCATGAGAAAGAGTGAGAGAGAGAGAGAGAGGGAGAGGCAGAGACACAGGCAGAGGGAAGAGAAGCAGGCTCCATGCAAGGAGCCCTATGTGGGACTGGATCCTGGGACTCTAGGATCACGCCCTGGGCTGAAGGCAGGCTCAACCACTGAGCCCCCCAGGCATCCCATCTTTTATGCATCTTTTTAGAGATTTATTTATTTTAGAGAGGAGAGAGATTGGGGGAGGGACAGAGAGAGGGAGAGGATCTCAGGCAGACTCTCTGCTGAGGTGTGGCTCAATCTTCTGATCCTAGCCAAAACCAAGAGTTGGATGCTGTTAAGCCACCCAGGTGCCCCTGCATCTTTTTTATGTACCTAAGAAATCTTACCTAACCCAAAGTCACAAAGACCTTTTGTTTAGTCATCTAGAATTTTTTAGTTTTAGGTTTTACATGTAAATCTTTAATCCATCTCAAGTAATTTTTATTTATGGTGCAAGGTGTGGGTTGAGATTATTCTTTTTTTGCATAAGGATGTCTCATTGTGGGACGGACCCGTGGGTGGCTCGGTGGCTGAGCATCTGCCTTCATCTCAGGGCGTGACCCTGGGGTCCTGGGATCGAGTTCCGCATCAGGCTCCTTGCATGGAACTTGCTTCTCCCCCTGCCTATGTCTCTGAAAAAATAAATAAAATATAAAAAAAAAAAAAAAGATGTCTCATTGCTTTAGCACCATTTCTTGAGAAGACCATTCTTTTTCCTTTAAAATGCCTTGGCACTTTGGTATTGAAAATCAATTCACCTGGGATCCCTGGGTGGCGCAGCGGTTTGGCGCCTGCCTTTGGTCCAGGGCGCGATCCTGGAGATCCAGGATCGAATCCCACGTCGGGCTCCCGGTGCATGGAGCCTGCTTCTCCCTCTGCCTGTGTCTCTGCCTCTCTCTCTCTCTGTGACTATCATAAAGAAATAAAAAAAAAGTTAAAAAAAAAAAAGAAAATCAATTCACCGCATATAAATGGGTCTATTGCTAGACTCTGTTTTATTCTCTTAACCTATGCATTTATTCTCTTGCTGTTGCTATTTGATCTTGATTACTATATCTTTGTAATAAGGCTTGAAATGAGATAGTGTGTGTCCTCCAATTCATTTACTTTAAAAATTGGTTTGGCTATTTTAGTTCCTTTTGCTTTCCATATAAATTTGAGAATTGGCTTCAAAACGTAATTGTAATTGTAAATCCCTATTAGGATTTCACAGGGACTCCATTAAATCCATGAATATAGTTGGGAGAATTGGTATCTTAACAATGTTGACTCTTCCAGTTCATGGACATCATATATCTACCATTTATTTAAGTCTTCTTGAGTTCTTTCATTTTTTTGTGGATTGCAGCATATGGATCTTAACACGTATTTTCTTGGGTTTACAGTTAAATATTTTGTTTTTTAGTACTATTATAAATGATACCTTAAAATTTTTTATTTCATATGGTTATTGCTAGTATTTATAAATATAATTGGCTTCTGTATATTGACTTTTTATGTCCTGCAACCTTGCTAAACTCAGGAGTTCTGTTAGCTTTTTTGTAGATTGTTTTGGGACAGTGGTATCTGCAAAAAGAGTCCAGTTGGATTTTTTTTTTTTTTAGTGTGACTTTTTTAGATATAACTCTTGAATGTTGGCTCTCTGAAGCCTTTTATGGACCAACAGCAAGCTTATTCACTTTCTTCTTATATTTTATAAGTCAGGGAAAACAATGCCCACAGGGTACGGTTTAGGTGTCTTTTATCATGGCCTTATATCAACAATGGTAACTCATTTGTGGAACTTTGAGAAATTTTTTTCCAAATGTGGAAATTGACAAATTAAAGTTGAGTGAGATGTATATGATTCATTCCCAACTAAGAACCATAAAATTGGTCCTTAATCTTAGTTTAAAGTAAAGTTACAACCATTTTTATCTCGAAGTCCTTTTTAATGATCAGTTCCAGTTTAAAAGGAAAATTCATTGATTAGCAGTTTCCTTACTCTCCTCTGTCTTTGTTGGTTCATGTCATCAGCAGGAAGTAAAATGGTCAAAAGGGTAAAATACAGAATAAAACAGTAAAACAAAGGAGCTTGGTGGTTCATAAAGTGACTTGATCAGATTCTGGCATTCTCACAGTTAGATTTGGATCCAGTTTTAGATGAGGAGAAAAGGTGGTCAAAGCTTGATCTTTCAGTGACAAAACGTATATCCTAGGGAGCGTTCTCTAGCTGTTGCAAACTACAGTTTGAAATTTACTGGTTTAAGATCTCATTTTTCTTGACATTGTTTCAATTAGGAAATGCTTTATTATGACTTTAGTGTCTTGTACATATTTCTAACATTTTCAGATAAATAATACCCTTTAGGTAACTTTGTGTGTGAAAGCTAATTGACTACTCAGCATCTACCCTTCAATAATTCCTTCATGATAATCTTCTCATCTTTCTTTTTTATTTTTGTTCTTTTTATGGATTCTCTAGTGGTATAACTCTGAAGTCCTATATAATATTTCCTCTGAAGTAGAAAGTATATACAGTTCTTTTGCTCTTATCATCTATACCCAAAGTGTGGATAGGGCCAATTTGGAGTAGCACAAAGAGCAAATAAATCTTAGTAGTTTACAGTCCTATTAATAACTATTTTCATACTGACCAAAACGGCCAAACGTAAGGATCTACCTTGTCCGAAAAGAGGTTCTCCCCAAACAAGTGAGATAGTTTACCTGCCCATATTTGCTGCTAGATCATTGTTAGTTTGTATTCCACACATGTACTCTTATTTTGGTGGGGCTCCCCCCTAATCCCCCACCCATTTTTTTTTTTTCCCTAAACTCAACTATTATGTGTTTGGGGGATTAATGGATTATATTATCCTTTGGAGGTCTCTAAAGTATACTTTATTCTAGGGAGTAATTGATTCGGAAAGAATGGATTTTGAGCTGTTACCGGATGATGAGCGTCAGTGTATAAAATGTAAAACCACATGCTTCATGTCTGCCATCTCCTGTTCTTGTAAACCTGGCCTGCTTGTTTGCCTGCATCATGTAAAAGAATTGTGTTCCTGTCCTCCTTATAAATATAAACTGAGGTGAGTAGAAAGAATAACCTTTTCTATGGAAAACCCTGAATCTTTAATAAAGTGATATTTCTATTCTAGGGTTGAAATACTGAGCATAAAATGTCTGATTTTCTCCAAACCCAAATATCTCAAAACTAAGTCTGCTATCCTGTTTCCAGGTATAGATACACTCTGGATGATCTCTACCCCATGATGAATGCACTGAAGCTTCGCGCAGAATCTTATAATGAATGGGCCCTGAATGTGAATGAAGCTTTGGAGGCAAAGATTAACAAAAAGAAAAGTACGTGGTATACAGTGTGGCTTGGTGATTGGCAAATTGGGACTGATCATAATGTAGCTAACATAGTTATCAACAAACAGATTACTTGAAACAATCTGACTTTGTCCTTGTTTAGTTCCCCCGTTTTCAGCCAGGCTTTTGGAGAGTTAGCAGAGAAAGTTTTAAAGCCATGAGTGGGTTAGGCAGATACCCTATATCAGAGGAAAATCTTGATGAATTGTACAGGATCGTGTTTTTTGTAACAAAGATCATCTTGTTAGAAAATGGAATGATCTTTACACCTCTGGTCTCAGAAGCAATATTTTACATTTTATATAGAATGTTAGAAAAACCTTTTTTAAAACCTAAATCTTAAGATAAAGGTAGCATGTTACTAAATTAGGGGCCTCTGGTTTAATCACTTTTTTGTTTGATTACTTTTTAGTGCTAATCAATGTCACAGTTTCTGTCTTTTGTTATTACCTCGAAGGTTACAACTCCTTTCCCATCATTTACAAAGTGCAAGAGAAAGGAGTGGTATGTGCAACAATGAGGATCTGCATTTGCCTTGTTTTGACAAATCCATTGTTTTCCATCTCTGAAACATTTCCATGTTGAAGAGCAACTCTAGGCACTTGTTTAAAACACTCTAAAGGGGTGCCTGGCTGGTTCAGTTGGAAAAGCATGCGACTCTTCATCTTAGGGTCATGAGTTTGATCCCCACATTTGGGTATGGAAATTACATAAAAATAAATGAAACTTAAAAATAAATAAAAGTAAAACCCTCTACCCTTGCCCAAAAAAGACCAATCAATGGAAAAAATTTTATTAATAATCATACTTTAGATAAGGTATAAAAGCAAACTCTCCTCCTTTATTTTATACCACTCATAATAAATATAATTATAACAGAAAAGATGACCTTTTCTTTATTCCTAGGCCTTGTCAGCTTTAAGGCTTTAATTGAAGAATCCGAAATGAAGAAATTCCCAGACAATGATCTTTTGCGTCACCTTCGCTTAGTCACACAGGATGCAGAGAAGTGTGCCTCTGTTGCACAACAGCTGCTTAATGGCAAAAGGCAAACTAGGTATATACTTCTGTTTGAGTTTAGACTCTTTGGTGGCTAAACTTTGAAACCTTTTGTGACTGGTTTTTCCTTCTGTCCTGTATTCCTGTGACATTGAATCTGGGAATGGTGAATATATCATGTTCTCATGGCTTCCTTGGGCCTTTGTTTTTATAGATACCGATCTGGTGGAGGAAAATCCCAAAATCAATTGACAGTGAATGAGCTCCGACAGTTTGTGACACAGCTATATGCTCTTCCATGTGTCCTCAGTCAAACACCTTTACTAAAGGTAACGCTTACAGAGGGATGTGTGGGAAAGTACTTTGGTAATCCTATATTTCGTAAATAAATTCAATTGACATGTTAAGTCATCTTCTTGGGTGGTTAATTTATACAAACATTTGCAGATGTTTTTAATACCCATGGAGTGTTTTTTGGTGTATATGTATAAAGAGACTGTAATAGGCCTACAAAGGAGAGATAAAGTTGGAAGTTTTTACCTTGAAAGTAACCACTTGCTACTCCTTGCAGTTGGTAAAAGGTCCGTTATAGTCACTTCGTTTAGCTGTCAGTTGGCTTATATATTACCTCATTTACCCATACTATTGCTAAAATCCTATGAGAGGGAAGAGGGTCACATTGAATGTGTATTGAAGAGTCTGAGTATGAAAGAATCCAAATTACTAAAATAAGTATTTTGATACAACAACCTGTGTTTTTTTAGGATCTTTTGAACCGTGTAGAAGATTTCCAACAGCATAGCCAGAAATTGCTCTCTGAGGAAATGCCCAGTGCTGCTGAGCTGCAAGACTTGCTAGATGTCAGCTTTGAATTTGATGTTGAACTTCCACAGCTTGCTGAGATGCGTACCCGTCTGGAACAGGCCCGTTGGCTAGAAGAGGTGCAACAAGCTTGCCTAGACCCCAGCTCCCTTACATTAGATGATATGAGACGTCTCATAGACCTAGGGGTGGGTCTGGCCCCATATTCAGCCGTGGAAAAAGCGATGGCCCGACTTCAGGAACTGCTCACAGTGTCAGAGCATTGGGATGACAAAGCCAAGAGTCTTCTCAAGGCCAGGTAAAAAACCAAATCTACCTTTCTCTTGGGGAAGGTTGAGTGATAATGTCCATCTAAGAGCACTAGAGCACAGTGATTGGTATGTGACCAATGTCCAGAAGCTGCAGCTGAAAGTGTAGAACACATGTAGAAGTAGCTGAGATATTTGGAATTGCTTTGGAACTTAGATAAAAGAATATTAATTTTTTTGTACTTTACTGATTGTGAAATAAATGATTCAAGTGGAATTGCCTTTTCTAGAGTTGTTTTAATGAAATTTCTTTGGACCCCAATGATACCATTTTTGAGAGAAGAAAAAAGTTTTACAAACAAGTGGAAAACCATTTCAACCCACAGTTAATAAATAAGTTCCCAAGGAGTCTTGAAAATGTCTGAATGTTAATATGCACCGTTCTATAAAATGAAGATAGCCAGTAATTACCATCAGAAATAGGAATGTACATTTTTGCTGTTTCTTTGTGATTCAGGACATCTTACTTGTGTTGGAGAGATTTGATTGGACTCAGGCAAACTATCTGAGGGGAGAAAGATCAGTCGCTCCCTTAATTTTGCGTTCGTCTGACAGCTCTTCATTAGTCTGATGGACAACATAAAGTACAAAAAAAAAAAAATACATGGTTAACAGACATACTTTTGTAATCCTAAAATAGTGGTCATTGAGCAAAGAGCACATTTTTTGATACTATGCTTTTGGAATGTTGCTATCCTAGAGAACTTAAGTTTTCTTAGTGAAACTATATGAATTTTGACAGTATATGTAACTCAATACGGTAAATAGTCATTAAGTAACCTGCGAATGAAAAGTCTGTGGTTATAGCAGCATAAAATCAGGAATAAGCAGAACTTAAATACTGAGTCATTTCCTTTATTTTAGAGGCTTTTAAATTGTACGCATGTATTTGAAACTCGTTAACTTGATATCTAATAGTTACTGACTTTTGAAAAAATTATTTATACAGAATTTCCTTTGAAATGGTTTTTCTGGTTTCTTTAGTAAACCTTAAGAAAAATGAACCACCATGTAAAATGTTAAGTAGTTCTTATATTTCATTTTTTTAGACCTCGGCATTCATTGAACAGCCTTGCTACGGCAGTTAAGGAGATTGAGGAGATCCCCGCATATCTGCCAAATGGCGTAGCTCTGAAAGACTCAGTGCAGAGAGCCAGGGACTGGCTTCAGGATGTAGAGGCCCTGCAGGTTGGTTTAAGAAAAAAGTGTCTTGAGTGTATAAGTGTATCTATGAAAAGCAGTAATTAAAAAATTATAAAGGAGGGTACTGTGTTGGATCTCACCACACAGATTGGGTGTTTTCGGTTGGCCAAATCAAAAATTTTGTTCAACCTTATGTAGATGTACTCACCCATCTATTATCCTGACCAGTTGGCTCAAATATTTAGAGTTTAGGTAAGTCAACCAACTTTCTCTGGGAGTTTGGGATCCTCTCTGAACAAACTTGAGTTACTTGGTTAAGGATCAAAGAAAAAGCTAAAGATGGAAGTTGTGGGAGAAAGGGAGTTTCTAAATCTTTGAGTACAGTTGTCTCTTGTTGGCTTAACAACTTAAGAGAACAGATAATCAAGAGTAGCACATTTAGTGAATCTGGTTTACATGATTACAATGAGAATGTAGGCCCAAAGGCCCAGAATCTTTCACGATGTAGTGACTTAAAAAAAAAATGCCTCCCCACCCCTACAAAAGAAATGAAACTTAAGTTCCAAAGTAATTAGCACTAAGTATATATGATCCTATGTTAGATGTCCTACCTGATGACTTGCCCATACATTGAAAAAGGAGTTAAATTTGCTTGTAGCATTATTAAGGTACAGACCAAATTCATTCTGTGATTTACCCAGTTGTAGCTAGATAATGTCATTTGAAAAGTTGATGGGGAGTGTCTTTATCTTTGTACTCATTGTAAATCAGTAGATGTTATGGACCTATTGAGAAAAAAGATCTTTGAATTATGTAATGGGCTAGGTTTTTAAAAATTTAGTTGATCTCATTCTTGAGTCTCAAGTTCTGTTTTGTTGAAGCCATTGGATTTTTTAAAGGTTTTATTTATTTATTTGAGAGCAAGAAAGTGCAGGGACACGTGAAAGAACAGGAGCATGGGGGAGAGGGAGGCTCCCCCCCGCCCCGCCCCTGCTGCCCAGAGCAGGGAGCCCAGTGTGGGACTCAGTCCTGGAACCCCGGGATCGTGACCTGAGGCGAAGGCAGATGCTTAACTGACTGAGCCACCCAAGTGTCCAAAGCCATTGGATTCTAAGAATAAAAAGTATTATCTGGTTTTCTAAATATTTGTCTAAGTAGTGCTAATTGATTAATTTTGCTAACAAGAAATGGCAGATCAGATAGCTTTAGCCAGTTGTTTACAACAAAACATCTGGTTGTCTATTCTAGTTAGAAGAGAAGGGCAGCCCGGGTGGCTCAGCGGTTTAGCGCCGCCCATCAGCCCAGGGCGTGATCTTGGAGACCCAAGATCGAGTCCCACATCAGCCTCCCTGTAGGGAACCTGCTTTTCCCTCTGCCTGTGGCTCTGCCTCTCTCTGGGTCTCTCATGAATAAATGAATAAAATCTTTAAAGAAAGGGGGGGGGAGACATTATTGTTTGATAAATAATATTACATAAGTAAGGAGTAAACTCCAGTTAGCCAGAGAACAAACCAAGGGAAGTATTTACTGTGTCCATAAACTTTTTTTTTTTTTTAATTCATGAGAGACCCAGAGAGAGAGGCAGAGACACAGGCAGAGGGAGAAGCAGGCTCCCTACAGGGAGCCCAATGTGGGACTTGATCCCAGGTCGCTCCCTGAGCCAAAGGGCAGATGCTCAACTGCTGAGCCACCCAGGCATCCTGATAAACTTTTTTTTTTTCCGGTAAACTTTCTTAATAAGAGTTTTAGATACAGGCTCTTGTTAATGGTAGTTGGAACTATAGTGATTAGTTTTGGTCATGTCCTAGGCCCCCTTTTCACTTATGATTGCTAGCAGCCAGGAAGGTGAGGTGAGGTCTTTGCAATAAGGAGAGATAAGCATGTGAAATCAGAAGGAGCACATATTTTTGGATAGGTTTATTCTGTTCATATTTTGTAAGGTATTTACTACTTAGGTAATGTGTTTTCAGTAGTGCCCATAGGGACGAAAAGCAAGTTTTGGTCCATTCCTGAAATAATAACCTGGTGTTTACTTGCATCATATACTAAAGGACTAATGGAGAAATATAACTGACAACATGGAGCCTCTTCATATTTAGTGGATTATGTATTTTGCAATGTTATTCAGTATTCTGCTTTATACATAGGGAGTATTCCATTTATTTCTAAATTAAATATTAAAGATCGCATGTATTTTATGAGTCATCTTTTTTTTTAAGTGTCTAGTAGAAACGCCCTTATAGATCTGATTCTGTAAGAATAAATATCAAAAGCAGTAAAATATCAGGTTCCCAGTCTATATTCAATTTTCCCCAATTTTCCCAAAAATGTCCCTTCAGGTTTTTTATCTAGTCCATGACCACGTGTTGCCCCTGACTGACATACACGTCTTTAAGTTTCTTTGAATCTTGTGGTGTTTTCTTCCCTACCTCCTTTCTTTCATGTCACTGTCTAGAAGTTACCCTGTGGTAAGCTCTGCCTTCTGGATTTGTCTGGTTATTTCTTTGTGGTGTATTCTCTTTTGTATTTCTTCTAAATTAGAAGTTAATTTCAAAGAGTTGATGGGTTGAAGTTAAATATTTTTTGCTTGGAATGATATCAAAATATCAGGTAATACTGTATACTTTGTATTGCATCACATCAGGAGATATGTTTGGATGACCTACTTAGTGAAGCTAAGATTTACCATTGTATTAGAGTATCATCAGTGCTCCCCACTCCCATTCTACACTTTTATTCTTCTTCCAGTCTGGGTGTCTCATTCTTAAATTGTCCCAGGGGCACCTGGATGGCGCAGTCAGTTAAGCATCTGCTTTCAGCTCAGGTCATGATCTCAGGGTCCTGGGATCGAGTTCTACAATGGCTCCCTGCTCAGGGGGGAGTCTGCTTTTTCTCTGCCCCTCTGAACTCTGGATATCCTCGCTCATTCTCATTCTCTCTCTCTCTCTCTCTCTCTCTCTATCTCTATCTCTATCTCTATCTCTATCTCTATCTCTATCTCTACAATAAATAATAAAATCTTTAAAAAACAAAAACATGGTCCCAGTACCAAGAGCATCAGCATCACCTGGAAACTTGTTAAGAAATGCAAATTCATGGACTCTTCCTTGGTGACCCGAATCCGAATATCTGGGGAAGGAGCCCAGGAAATGGTTTAAAAAAGCTTTCCAGATGAATCTTAATTCATTTGAAAGTTTGAAAACCAGTGGGACTTTTCATCTCATTTTAGTTTTCTGAATAATTTACCCAGAGTTACTTTATCATTGGGTGGATTGGAGTAAAATATTGTTCCTTTTTTTGATGTAAGTCAGTGTGAAAATGTTTTGAGTTATTGCAAATTACATTTTTCTTGAAATTTTTTCAACCTATCTATAGGGATCAAGATGACAAGTGAATTTAGAATTAGAAGGTAAATAAATAATTTTTTAAAAACCAAAAAGGGGGGGATCCCTGGGTGGCGCAGCGGTTTAGCGCCTGCCTTTGGCCCAGGGCGTGATCCTGGAGACCCCGGATCGAATCCCACGTCGGGCTCCCGGTGCATGGAGCCTGCTTCTCCCTCTGCCTGTATCTCTGCCTCTCTCTTTCTTTCTCTCTCTCTCTCTCTCTGTATGTGACTATCATAAATAAATAAAAATTTAAAAAAAAAATAAAGCAATTTGCAAAAAAAAAAAAAAAAACAAAAAAAAACCAAAAAGGGGGATCCCTGGGTGGCTCAGCAGTTTGGCGCCTGCCTTTGACCCAGGGCGCGATCCTGGAGCCCCGGGATCAAGTCCCACGTTGGGCTCCTGGCATGGAGCCTGCTTCTCCCTCCCTCTGCCTCTCTCTCTCTCTCTCTCTCTGTCTATCATAAATAAATAAATCTTAAAAAAAAAAGAATTAGAACGGCATTAAAAGTCAAGGAGATCACAGTGTATGTCATGTTCATAGCTGTACACTTGGGGGCTAGCACAAACTAGGTTCTTTTAAAGTGTGTGTTAACTAAAGGAACACATGTTAACCCCACCGCAATTGGTCAACTGGCAAGTTTTGTCCATCTCTGTGAAATTAACATGTTGAAATCATGGAGTAGGCCTATTCTGAATTGTGCTCTTCTCACTTTGTAGATAAATATTCTTTTTTCTAAGTTGGTACAATTTTTATTGACTCATTAGGTTGGAGGACGTGTGCCAGTGTTAGACACACTCATAGAACTTGTTACACGAGGTCGATCTATCCCGGTACATCTGAATTCTTTACCAAGACTGGAATTACTAGTAGCTGAGGTTCAGGCTTGGAAAGAATGTGCTGCTAATACATTCTTGACTGAGAATTCTCCATATTCTCTCTTAGAGGTAAGTTTGCAACCAGCCCATCTACAAGACCTTAGATCTCTTAGCTTATAGAACATGCATTCCCTTCTCTCTCAAAGGTGGTGGTTTCACTGATTGGTCTACATTCTGTGAGTTATTTTTTTCAGTAAAGCCAGGGAGATTCTTCTAAACTTACAGTGAAGTAACCTTTAAATGTTATCTGGATACATTTAGGGATAGCATTCAGTGTCTAAAGAAGAACATTTTTCTCATTGACGTTCCTTAATCTGTGTTGAAATTGGACTTTTAACCTTGGCCATAATTCACCATTTGCATTTAATAAGCCTGGTAAATGGTCTTATCCACCTCTCATAAAGTGCTATAGTTGTACTTTTTGTATTTTTTTTAAGCTGATACTGGTAGTGCACTATGACTGGAATTGGTATATATCACATTGGACTTACTGTTTTATCCAGTCTAGAATCAAAGTCATTCTTTTGTGAAAATTCATTCCCTCCCTCCCTCCTCCTCTGTAGAGGAGAGTTTTCTGGGTTCAGGGCAGCATGTTACAGAGAAAATTTAAGATGCTAAGAAGTTTACATCCTTTCCACAGGTAGGCTTTTATTGTGAGGCTTCATAAGGCTTTATCTGAAATCTGTCTAATTGGTTGGTTGTGCTTTCCCCCACGTTAGGTGTTGTGTCCTCGATGTGACATTGGCCTTTGGGGATTGAAGAGGAAACAGAGAAAGTTCAAGGAGCTCTTGCCAAGTGGAAAGAAGAAAAGCACCAAACTAGAGAGTCTGAGTGACCTGGAGAGAGCTTTAAGTGAAAGCAAGGAGACTGCTTCAGCTGTATGTAGTAGGGCTTTTTTTTTCTTCTTTGTTGCTTTGGGAGGATGATTTTAACCCTTTCTTGTTTGCAGGGATGTTGCTAAGGCATCTAGAAGAATAACCCTGAGTATACTCAGTTTTTCCAAAAAGACTTTCTGAAAATTGTCAAATGTAAAAGTTTCTAGTAGAAGATGCATAAAGGTGCAGCAGGTACAGGGAAGCCTCCCAGTCTGAGTTTTGCAGGTTCAATTGTCAGGCCTGTGGGTTGACTCCAGGATGGATGCGGACAGCAGAAATCAAGGTTAACAGATGAGTGAAACTGCACTGCCAGCTTAGTAATTTACAACAGGAAATACACATATGGGGCGCCTGGCTGGCTCAGTTGGTGGAGCATGTGACTTTTTTTTTTTTAAGATTTTATTTATTTATTTATTCATGAGAGACACTGAGAGAGAGAGGCAGAGACACAGGCAGAGGGAGAAGCAGGCTCCCTGCAGGGAGCCCAACGTGGGACTTGATCCTGGATCTCTAGGATCACGCCCTGGGCTGAAGGTGGCGCTAAACTGCTGAGCTACCCAGGCTGCCCTGTAACTCTTGATCTCATGGTTGTGAGGTGAAGCCCCACACTGGGCATAGAGCTTATTAGTAAGTAAGTAAAACACACACACACACACACACACACACACACACGCATGCTTAAAAAATACATTTAAAAGAATATTGGATACCTTTGAATCTGACTGCATTTAGTAAGCACTGTTGATTCAAAGATGGTATCATCCTAAGCTGAAGCAGAGTCTAGTTCATGTGAGCCACAGTGTTAGGACAGAAGATGATGGTAGGTGATTTGGATGTTTAAAATTTTTTTTCTTTTATTGAGCTGTAATTGGCATATAACATTATGTTAGTTTCAGGCATACACCATAATGATTTGATTGATCACACTAAGTCTAGTTAATATCCATCACTGCTCATAGTTACAGACTTTTTTGTGGTAAGAATATTAGCCATAGTCAACATTGCTGTACCCTTACATCCTCAAGACTAATTTTATAACTGGAAATTTATACCTTTTGACTGCCATTACCCAGTTGGTCTACTCCCCACCCCCTGCCTCTGGCAGCCACCTATTTGTTCTCTGTATCTGTGGGTTGGGTTTTTTGTTGTTTGTTTTGTTTTGTTGGGGATGACTTACTTCAGTTGGCCTAACACAATTACAGTCCATCCATGTTGTTGTGGGTAGCAAGATTTCCTTTATTTTTTCTCTGGCTGAATAATATTCCATTGTATATACATACACCACATTTTCTTTGTCCGCTGATCCACTGATGGACACTTAGGTCACTTCCATGTATTGGCTCCTGTAAATAATGTTGCAGTGAACATAGGGGTGCAGATAGCTTTTTGAGGGTAGTGCTTTCCTTCAAATAAATACCCAGAAGTGAAATGGCTAGATCACTTGGTAATTCTATTTTTAATTTTTTGAAGAACCTCCATACTGTTCTACAGAGTGGTTGCACTAATTTACATTCCCACCAGCAGTGCCCAAGGGTTCCCTTTTTTCCACATGCTCACCAACATGTGTTACTTCTTGGCATTTTTGATAATAGCCATTCTGATAGGTGTGAGGTGATCTTGCATTGTGATTTTTTTTTTTAAAGATTTTATTTATTTATTCATGATAGTCACACAGAGAGAGACAGAGAGGCAGAGACACAGGCAGAGGGAGAAGCAGGCTCCATGCACCGAGAGCCCGACGTGGGACCCAATCCCGGGTCTCCAGGATCGCGCCCTGGGCCAAAGGCAGGCGCCAAACCGCTGCGCCACCCAGGGATCCCCGCATTGTGATTTTGATACGCAGTTTCATGGTTGACCACCTCTTCATGTACCTGTCTTTGTATGTCTTTTCTGGAAAAATACTCCAGTCCTCTGCCTAGGTTTGTTTTTTTCTTTTAAGTTGTTTGTGTTCTTTAACTATTTTGGATATTAACCCTTTATCAGATACGTGTCTTGCCAGTATTTTCTTCTATTCTATAAGTCGCCTTTTTACTTTATTTCCTTCTTTGTGCAGAAGCTTTTCAGTTGGATGTAGTCCCATCGGGGTGCTTTAAGTGGCACTAAGCGTTGCCCATTGTAGAATTGGACTACACTGGTTCCGAGGACTGGACCAGATGGGTTCAGTCTCTGCTCAGGGCACCTTCCTCCCAGTCTGTTCCTTTGGAGCTGCCTGACTTCTCTGGTGATTGACATGGGATTGCTTTGATTTGTGTATTTTGGCACAGACATCCTTAGGGGTTATTTGTGTATTAAGTCAGGTTCTTTTATTTTTTTTAAAGATTTTATTCATTCATTCATGATAGAGGAGACACAGAGAAGCAGAGACACAGGCAGAGGGAGAAGCAGGCTCCATGCAGGAAGCCTGACGTGGGACTTGATCCCAGGACTCCAGGATCACGCCCTGCCCCGAAGGCAGGCGCTAAACTGCTGAGCCACCCAGGGATCCCCTAGAGGGAGAAGCAAGCTCCATGCAGGGAGCCTGATGTGGGACTTGATCCCGGGTCTCCAGGATCATGCCCTGGGCTGCAGGCGGCGCTAAACTGCTGAGCCACTCGGGCTGCCCTCTGTGGTTTATTTTTGTAAAGGCATTGTCCGTTTTGAACTTTGCATGCTATATCTTTCAGAGTCTAGTCTATGCCCATCTAGTCTGTGAATCTCTGGCTTAAGAGCTCTTACATTACCTGTTGATTTCATAGTAAAGCTCTGAAAGATAAACTGTTCTCCATTTCTTAAGTGAATGCCTTGTTATCATGTAACCCACATACACTGCCTGTACATTGTTTTTGTCTACAGAAATAAGTGGATTTTTAAAAAATATACCAAAGGTTTGTAACCTGATTTACTTCTAGATCTATTTGTTTCTTAATCGTTCATAAATTTTCTTCCTATTCCAATATGAGATAACGAAGAGTTCATTCTGGCCATATGACTCCGGGCACCTCATCTGGTGAATCATAATGGGTCTGATGGTTAATGGGTATGATAACTGAATGGTTTTATCTGTGACAGATGGAAATTTTAAGGATTTGGGAATAGAATTGGGGAAAAGAATAGTTCCTGCAGCCTTTGGCTTCTCTTTCTAGAGGAGAAAGCTCAGTTTTAAAAATCTGCACTTTGGGCAGGCCCTGGTGGCCTAGCGGTTTAGCACCACCTTCGGCCCAGGGCCTGATCCTGGAGTCCCATGTCTAGATCCCTGCATGGAGCCTCCTTCTCCCTCTGTCTGTCTCTGCCTCTCTCTTTCTCTGTGTGTGTCTCTCATGAATAAATAAAATATTTTAAAAAATAAAAATATAAATAAAAATCTGTGCTTTACCTCTATTTATGTATATTTCTGTATCAGTGAAGTGCTGGAGGAGGGCTTTGGTGGTCAAGCCTTTTGTTGGGAAAACTGGATATTAAGTTCAAGGTGGTAGTGGCTAACTCTTGACATAGCCAGTGATTTATTATTTTATTTATTTATTTTATTTATTTATTTTATTTATTTTTAAAGATTTTATTTATTCATGAGAGACACAGAGAGAGAGAGAGAGGCAGAGACAAAGGCAGAGGGAGAAGCAGGCCCCATGCAGGGTGCAGGGAGCCCGACATGGGTCTCGATCCTGGGACTCCAGGATCACACCCCAGGCCAAAGGCAGGTGCTAAACTGCTGAGCCACCCGGGCTAGTGATCTTTGTTTATTATATTTATTTTATTTTTTTAAAGATTTTATTTATTTTTTCATGAGACACACACACACACAGACACACACACACACACAGAGGCAGAGAGCTAGTAAGAGGGAGAATCAGGCCTCATTCAGGGAGCCGGACGTGGGACTCAATCCCGGGACTCCAGGATCACACCCTGAGCCGAAGGCAAGCACTAAACTCCTGAGCCACCCAGAGATCCCCTAGTTTATCATATTTAAAAGGCTTTTTACTTAATGGTGCATAATGAATAAATCCGTAATGCCTGGACTTGTTTCAGTATTGGATACGTTGTGTAGTAAGTAGGTGCTTTAGTCTGTTCATATAAAGTTCCACTTACAGGCATCTTGTAAATATCGTTCGGGAATATGTTCAGTATCACTTTAGCTTTTTACTGTGTAGTTGGTTCTGTTTATGTGTTATTTTCAAGTCATTTATACAGGTTAAATGAACTCCCTACTTTCCTGGAACGTGACTCTCATCTTAATAGAGAGGAGACTTTACCATTTGAATATACCTCCCACTCTGCAGAAAAGCAGCTTGTCTTTGTGCTCTAATGAGCTTATTTTACAGCATGTACATGTGTGCATGCATGGAAGAAAAGTCTGGAAAAGTGGTTTGGTTATTTCATGAGGTATCCGGTTTCATTACCTGCAGTGGCTGTGTCTAGCATACATGTAAGGCTTTAATCTTAAAGGTAGTAGGAGGTTTAAACTACTGTTGGTAGTGGCTGCTCTAGAGACTTTTCCATCCAAATACATCTGTAAAAGAACACAAAAGCTGTTGAACTTTGAAAACACGGAGATCCTCAGGAATTAATTTACATAGAATGTGAAAAGCATGTATCTTTCAAGAGAGGTAAATGTGCAAGGAAGTTGGACTTCAAGAAGTAAAGTGTGCTGAGTAATTGCTCACATTGTTTACTGTGTGCTGGGCAGAGAGTGCTCTGCTCTATTGCATGTCCCTCATTTAATCGTCACTGCAGCCCTGGAAGTGGGCCTTACTATTAACTCCATATTATAACATGTGAAAATTTAGCCACAGTGGGACATGCCATCCAGTTGTCCTTCACACAACTCAGTGGGACAGAATTCAAATGTAGATCATCTACCCTGGGACCCTTGAGTTTTAGGAGAGGGCTAAATTCTCTCTGACATGGTCCTTGACTGTTAACTCCTTTCTAGATGGCAACACTTGGGGAAGCTCGCCTGAGAGAAATGGAAGCCTTGCAGTCTCTCAGACTAGCCAATGAAGGGAAGTTACTGTCACCTGTCCAAGATGTGGAGCTGAAAGTCTGCCTATGTCAGAAGGCCCCAGCTGCCCCTATGATCCAGTGTGAACTCTGCAGGGATGCCTTCCACACTAGCTGTGTGGTGGTACCCAGTATTTCACAAGGCCCCCGAATCTGGCTTTGTCCCCATTGTCGGAGGTCAGAGAAACCTCCTTTAGAGAAAATTCTGCCCCTGCTGGCCTCCCTGCAGCGTATCCGAGTTCGCCTTCCTGAGGGAGATGCACTTCGATACATGATTGAGAGAACCGTGAACTGGCAACATAGAGCCCAGCAGCTGCTTTCATCAGGGAATCTCAGATCTGTGCAAGATCGAGTGGGCTCAGGACTGTGGTATAGCAGATGGCAAGCTTCAGCAGGACAGGTGTCTGAGACCAACAAGGTGAGTCTGGACTTTGCCGGTTGGTTACTGGAATCTGCCGAGCTCTGTCCCTTTCCGCAGACCCTTTCGCTCTGGTACTGCTGCTGTTCCTGGTGATGCTTGACCTACCAGCACGCACTTTTCAGCTCCTATCACTTCGAGGGGTGTGTGTTACTGTGTTGTTTTACTTTCTGTGCTCCTAGCAATCAGAAGTTGTCTCTCTGGCAGTCTGCTTCTGTAGAGCAGATTTCACCTTTTCATAGATATGTACAAATTTCCCATTTATGTGTATGAATCCAGATACATATTTAAAATATGTATCCAGATACATAAAATACGTATCCAAATTCATATACATGAATTTTTATAATTTTTGCTTGACTTTTTTCCCCCTTTTCCTCCCATATAAGTCACTGACCAGAAGGGAAAGTGCTTTCTGCCTTGTGTCTCTTACCACCCTTTGAGGAAAGAATAGGTTTTGAAGTGTCCGAGTACTGTGCTGCTTCAGAGGAAAGGCAGAGGGTTTCATACCACCCATGCTCTTTCTTTTTTCTTTTTTTTTTTATATTTTTTTAATTTTTATTTATGATAGTCAGAGAGAGAGAGAGAGAGAGAGAGGCAGAGACACAGAGGGAGAAGCAGGCTCCATGCACGGGAGCCCGACGTGGGATTCGATCTTGGGTTTCCAGGATCGCGCCTTGGGCCAAAGGCAGGCGCTAAACCGCTGCGCCACCCAGGGATCACCCACCCGTGCTCTTTCTGCTAAAAGGCTAGCTTCTTTTGACCATCACTGGGATGAGCAGAGGTTTTTGTCTTCCTCCATAGGAGGTGACTGCAGGAAAAGAATGTGAAAATATCAGGAAAGTTATCAGGAAGGCATTATTCAGTCTTCATACAAGTTTGACTTGATGACTTTTAGATCTCATACAGATTTCTCTAGCAGAGATCTCACAGCTCCCATGTGCTATACTAACACAGTGAATTATGAGTTAAATGTCAAACAGATCAAAGATAAAGACAAAAAATTGATTTCTGTCATATATGTTTCCTTGTTTTCTTTTACATTTCTTTCCAGGCTTGTGAAATACAGTCAATGCCTGGCACTTAGCAAATGATGAATTAAATTTTTGTTGCATAGGAGGAGTTGTGATTACTTGGGCAGCCTGCAGGGGAGACATTTATATTCTTGTTTACACAAAATGCGCTAGAACTTTACCTTTATTTACTAGTTCATAGTTAAAGGAGTGTTCTCCTAGTGTTTTTTTTTTTTTTTTTAGATTTATTTTTTTATTCATGATAGAGAGAGAGGAAGAGAGAAGCAGAGATAAAGGAGGAGGGAAAAGCAGGCTCCATGCTGGGAGTCCGATGCGGGACTCGATCCCAGGTCTCCAGGATCGCACCCTGGGCCAAAGGCAGGCGTTAAACTGCTGAGCCACCCAGGGATTCCCCCTCTCCTGGAGTTTCTTTTTTTTTTTTTTTTTTAAGATTTTATTTATTTATTCATTTATGAGAGACACAGAGAGAGAGAGGCAGAGACACAGGCAGAAGGAGAAGTGGGCTCCCTGCAAGGAGCCCGATGTGGGTCTCGATCCCAGGACCCCAGGATCACGCCCTGAGCCAAAGGAAGATGCTCAACCGCTAAGCCACCCAGGTGCCCCTCCTAGTGCTTTTTAATAAACATTGAAGAAGGAAAGAAGGTAGATGTGCCTTATTTCCCAGTAGTGCTCTTGACCTCTCTGGAATCATTCTAGGTAAAACCAGGAAGACTAAAGGCTTGGTCCATAGGAGCTGATTTGGCTAAATCTAAAGTACCTTGAGACTTACGTTCAGGAAAGAAGTTCTTTCCTGCTTGCCTGCTTGATAACCCAAACTCCTTTCCTTGCACTGGTAGAAGAATTTTTAATTCTGAAAAAGCCTTTCTATAAAATGTTTTCTTTCCATTAGGTGTCTCAGCCTGTGGGCACAACATCCTTTTCCTTGCCTGATGACTGGGACAGCAGAGCCTCGTATGTACACTCTCCCTTCTCCTCTGGCCGGAGCTGTATCCCCCTCCATGGTTTGTATTTATTATTATTATTATTATTATTATTATTATTATTATTGGGATTGGGTAGTAACAAGTGATTTTGCACTAGGTTTTTGTTGTTCGGATATATAAAAAGACTATCCTCAAGTGTTGGTTATGGGCTACTGTGTATTTGTAAGGTAGGAGAAGAATCATGCTTTTGAAGGTTTATAATGCAAAGCAAATAGAAGAAGCCTTTAATACATTGCTTTCAGGGGTTGAAAGGGTTAATCCCAGGCCAACTGACTTTTCCACATCAGTCATTTCAGTCAGATGCTAAGTCATGGGCTCCCTAGGGATCTTAGAGATAATCTATACTTGAAACCTAACCTCTTTTTTTTTCTTATATAGTTGACTCGAACAACACAGGTTTGAACTACACAGGTCCACCTATGCACAGATTTTTTCAAAAGTATAGTACAGTACTGTAAATGTATTTATTTCGTAGGGTTTTCTCTTTTTTTTTGTCATAGGGTTTTCTTAACATTCTCTTCTCTCTAGCTTGCTTTAAGAATACAGTATATAATACATAAATATACAAAATATGTTAATTAGCTGTTCATGTTTACTGGTAAGGCTTCTAGTCAACAGTAGGCTACTAGTAGTTAAGTTTTTGGGGAGTCGAAAGTAACACATGGATTTTCGACTCTGCAGGGATTCAGCACCCCCAATGCCTTCCACATTGTTCAAGGGTCAGCTGTGCTTACGCATACATGACTGCCCTGTGAGTTCTGGGGCAGCCGTGGCTAGAGCCCTGATCCTTAGTGTGTTTGGTAAGGGGGCTGGAGCTACAACTAATCCACTTAGATTGCTCACAGCCTGGCCTATTCTGTGCTTGATAACAAAAGCTGTCAAGGCCTCTTTGCGTTCACAATAATTAAGTGAAGAGAGGACTCACTGTAAAGTTAGTACTTCCCTAGTAATCAGAAGACTGAGAAGGTGTAGCTTGAGCTCTTATATTGTGGCTTTAGATACATTAAGTGAACCTAACTTCAACTGAATGTAATTTTATAAGGACAGGGCGGCAGTGGTAAGAGGGGTAGTCCTGCGTTTCTTGCAGGTCTAAATGTCCATATGAAACATTCCTTATTGTCCTCACTTTAACAGGTGTTAGTCCAGAAGTGAATGAACTGTTGATGGAAGCCCAGTTGCTCCAGGTATCCCTTCCTGAAATTCAGGAACTTTACCAGACTTTACTTGCAAAGCCAGCCCCTGCTCAGCAAACTGACCGAAGCTCACCAGCTAGACCCAGCAGTGAGAAGGTGAGTGTCTGGCAGGCAGCCAGGGGAATCCAGTCTACGGTGGGAGAGTTTGATATTTAGTGTCATTCTGTCTAAATAGTTTGGTCCATGAGATACTGTCTTGATCCAGAAAAGGGTGCAGACTATCTACCTCACAACCCCATTCCTAAGGCTGTGGACTCACATCTTGGAGTTTGGTGCTGTTTTTTAAATGAACTGTAAGACTTTCTTTTCTTTTTAGCGTGGTGCTTCTCATCATTTTCATGTGATAATAGCTAGAAGCAGAATTATTTTTTTCTGTAAGAGAAATACTGTAGAGATGAAAATGTAATTATAGCTGGGAAGGCCTTTTGGTATAAAGCTTTCAGAATGCAGAGAATATTGGAGCTAACATTTAACGAATGCTTTAACCCTAACAGTACAGCTGGTGTGAGGACTGGGTCCTCAGACTGGGGTGCCTGTTGGGAGTGCTGACTTACTTGAAGGGATAGATACCATGTATGTCCTGTTTCTTAGCATAAAGATGCCACTACTACAGTAGTGAGCTAGCTGACCTATAACATTCAGAACTCCTGAGAATATAGTCAGGATAAAGAAGAATATCACTTCAAATACATACTCCCCACTGAGTGTGGAGCCTGATGCGGAGCCGATGTGGAGCTCCATCCCACGACCCTGAGATCATGACTAAAGAGGAAGGGATTAGCACAGCTCCTTAGAATTCTGTAGGTCAGAGGACAAGCATATGCGCCTAGCTAGAAACTACTTGGTAGTCTCTTCCTCATGGAGTTGGCAAAGAGAGGAATGTAGGAGTTTCCCCCATCTCCTAGTGCTAATTTGAAAGCTGATCATGCCTTTAACATTTCCTGCTTCCACTATTTCTTTTGATAGCTCCAACAGTTAAGTTAGCTACACTCAAACAGGTTGTCCTATAGGACATGAGGGGACGTGGTGGCAGTGGTGTCAGGGTACAGTGTTATTTTTCATTTTATGTAAGTCTTCTTTACACCTGATGTGGGGCTCAAACTCCTGACACGGTCAAGAGTCATGTGCTCTTCCAACTGAGCCAGCCGGGCACCTGAGATTGCAGGATTTTTCAAATGAGACCATCTGGTTTCTTTTTTTTTTTCTTTTCTTTCTTTTTTAAACAAACACCTGATGAAGTTCATATACTTTTTTAAAAAATATATTTATTCATGAGAGACAGAGAAAGGGAGAGAAGCAGAGACACAGCAGAGGGAGAAGCAGGCTCCATGCAGGGAGCCCAATGGTGGGACTCGATCCCAAGTCTCCAGGATCACGCCCTGGGCCAAAGGCAGGAGCTAAACCACTGAACCACCCAGGGATCCCCCCATCTGGGTTCTCATACAGCTAATACTTCACTGGTTTGAGTAACACGCACACTGTGGGCTAAAATTGAACCTATCTTCCCTCCAGAATGAGTGCTGCCGCGGGAAGCGAGATGGAATCAACAATCTTGAGAGAAAACTTAAGAGACGCCTGGAAAGAGAAGGCCTCTCCAGTGATCGATGGGATCGAGTGAAAAAAATGCGGACCCCCAAAAAGAAGAAAATCAAACTGAGCCACTCCAAGGACATGAACAGTTTCAAGTTAGAGAGGGAGCGTAGCTATGAATTAGTCCGTTCTGCCGAAACCCATTCCCTGCCCTCAGACACATCCTATTCCGAACAGGAGGACTCTGAGGATGAAGATGCCATCTGCCCAGCTGTGAGCTGCCTGCAGCCAGAAGGAGATGAGGTCAGTGAGGTTTGGGCCATAGAGGACGTGCTTTCCCTTAACTCAGAAACCCTGTAAGCTACACCTCATCTCGCTGGGTCTTTCTCTTCTGCTTATCTGCTTTGAGCTGATCTGAATGGATTGCTCAGCCCTCCCCCACTGATATCTCTGCTCTTACCATCGTTCCTGGGTCTTCTCCCTTTTCTTGAAGAAACTCTTATTCTTCCCTTTTTCCTTTTCCTGCTCTTCCAGCTTTCACCGTCCCGGCGCTAAGAAGGTGGGAGGGATGCTGATGTAATGCCCTTTTGCTTACTTATCACAGGGCGGCGCTGTCTTAACCCCAAAGCAGTCACGACTTGAAGAATGGCTTTGACTTGGTTGCTTTGGCTGGTGGGCCAGCTACACTCATGTGGCGTAGCTGTTGTGCCAGAGGTCCCAGTGGTGGGACAGTGGCCGTTAGTGGCAAACGGCCTGACTATCTTGAGGCTGGCCTGCCCAATTTTGAATCACATCTTTTCCTCTGAAAACCCCGTCTCCCTGCTCTTTGTAACCAGGTGGACTGGGTCCAGTGTGATGGCAGCTGCAATCAGTGGTTTCACCAGGTCTGTGTTGGTGTTTCTCCAGAGATGGCAGAGAAAGAAGACTACATCTGTGTGCGCTGTACTGTGAAGGACGCACCAAGCCGAAAATAAAAAATACAAACACAAACACCCCCCTCACCCCCACCCACTTAATGTAATTCAGGACTCCAACCGAGAAGATTTCTTCAATTTCTCAGCAAAGCTACAGGACTGGTATTCAAACCAGCCTGTAAACGGTGCTATTTCTATTCCTTACGGGATCATTTTTCCAGAACTCTTTGAAAAAAAGAAAAAACAACTAAAAAATTTTTTGACACTTTTTGTATTTTTTTCCTTAAGAGCTGTTTGTGGTTGTTGAGGTTTGAAATGCCGACTGCTTTTTTTGCAGGGGTTTCCACCAATTTGGAAGGCATTGGAGCTTGCACCTTTTCATGTACAGCATTAAAACCTTACCTCTGTCTGGGATTTACCGGCTTAAGAGTCCAACTCAGTTTCAGTGCCCAGAAGGGCACCAGAAATTCCAGTAAATCCTCATTTGAGGAATTTCTCTCTTGTTTACTCTGTTACCATATCGGGGAACTTAAGTTTTTCACTTTTGGGGTTTTTGTTTCTTTATCCGCTTTTCTTTTTCCTGGTAGACTAGGTTTATTTATCTAAGCAATAACTTCTATGTTGGTTTCAGTGGCTGGAATTAAAACAAAACAAAACAAACTTTCAAACAGTGTGTTGGTGCTTTAGCATTTGGTTGATGTACAGAACACAAATGTCTAGTTTCTAGTGTCACTGATGAACTAGTGATGTAGAAAAGAGACTGCTCTGTAAGTAATTGCCACAGCTGTATTTTGGCTTTTCCCCTGCCCTTTCCTTCCTCTCCTATTTTTTTGGTAGCTTGTATCAAATGTTGCAGTTTTTATTGTGGAATAAATCCTTGGTCCTAATTTAACACTAAATGCTGGTTATTTAGAGCCATTAGACTACATACAGCTTCTCATGCCCCTCTACCTTGTGGGCTTTGAAGAGCGAGAGGGGGGGTTGCTTGCTTTTGCCTCTGCCCAGCCAGGCTATAGTAGCAGTGTCTGGCAGGCCATATGCCTCCAGTCTCTGCTAATAAAGAACCCCCGTCCAGTCTTCACCGAATAGAATTTGTCTTTAAAGCCATGCTTTTTTAAATAAGATTTTCAGAATGGTGGCAAGTCATTCCAATCCTCAAGTCAGCCCTCCTTGAGGAAATGATGTCTTTATTATATTTGAATTGACAGGGACACTTGGTGTTTAGGGTTAAGATGTCCAAAGGAAATCTAAGGAAGATGATCCTTGCGGAGGGCTAGGAAATTATGGGTCAAGGGACAGCTTGTGAACACACAGGCTCTGCCTCCGTGATTTCGTTTCCTGTCTTTTTCTAATTCTAGCTCTTGTTACTGGTTGTTGATAGTCCACAGCCTTTCCCGTCTTTTCTTTTTCAAAGGGCTCTGTTCTGCAGTGGAGAAGACCTTCTGGTGAACAGAACAGACTCTTGCTTGGTTTTTCCTCTTCTGTTGGTAATACTTATTTTCCCCCGTTCTATAGCCATAAACCTGGAGATGGGTAGAACTAGTAGGTCTTTAATAAAACAAAAACAGCAGTTTGTAATGTAGCAGAGATTTAAATGTACTATATCCCCTTTGATGCAATTCAAATAATTAAATCTCTTTAAGAATGACTTGTAATTGTCTGCAGTTTTCCCACAGTCGTTGCAATGTCTCTCCTTGTCTGATGGGGGTTCTGGGGCCAACAGAGAAGAAGAGTCTCCAGAGTACAATCTGGAAGAGTAGTGGTTTGGACTTTTTTTAAGTATCCAAATCCTTAGAACCCCCTGACATTGGGACAAAATGCCTGCTGTCCCAGTTCCTTTGGGAATATAAGCTAAAAGGGGACACGGCAGCTAAAATGGAGCCTTTGCCTATAGAGAGCTTTTGCCCATCTGGTATGCACCTCCTGTGGCCCTACTCGGTTTCTTCCTCACCTATGGGTTCACAATCCCTGACGACAGCATCCTGGTGACGTAGATTCTCTGCCTCTATGAGTTAGAGGAGGAAAGGCAAGGATGTGTGTATTTGCCACCCCCTCCCCCATGTGAGAGTGTCCGCTGCCCAGGTGATACTGCTGGCGAATGACAAAGGCTGGGCAGCGTCTTCCAGGTCTCCTGTACTTTGCCTCCTGCCTTGTGCACTGACACAGCAAGGGAACAGAGGTACAGCTACCTTCTAATCGGTACCTACTGTTAAGTACCCAGCTCGACCACAAAATGATGTCACCTAAGAACCTTGTGTACTGTGTGTTAGCCATGAAGCCGGCCTGTGTCCTGGAGAAACTTTTGCACCTGGAGAAAGAAGAGAAGACACAGAAAACACACAGAGAAACTGATGCTCCCCCTGCAGTGGTCCTGCAGCCGCATGAGGTGTGAGAAGGAAAGACTGGTGGCCAGAGCCTGAGCCCGGGGGGTGAAGGAGCCAGTGCGTTGGGCACCGAAGGGTGAACCAGTGCCCCTGCCCCCATGCCAGTGGCTGTTGTGTTTTTGTTCTTCCTTCCAAATCAGACTCTAGGGGGTTTCTTAGGCAGAACCCAGAAAGGGCTTGCTGCTTCTGCAGGCTTCAGCCTGGAGAAAGATGGTGTGATTTGGACTAGCCGTAAAGGAGGTGGATGTCTTTACACCTTCATTTCAGCGTCCTGGGAGGTGGAACTCCCTTTTGTATCTCAAGGTTAGCCTAAAGCCAGGGATGCCATCTGTGGTGGTAGAGGTGGGTAAAAACCCGAGTTTCCCCGCTTCATTCTGCCAGACAGAGCTTTAAAAAATGATTTCATGTTTTGGCAGAAGTATCTGAGATTGACTCAATTTGCTGTTAAAATTAACATGACCTTTTGGGTGTTTGTGCAGGAAACCCTGAGAGTGGATCCAACAGAGTGGATGCCTACCTCGAAGGGGGTAAAACTTGGTTTTGCCTCATCCCTTTTTGTTGGGCTCTGAAGGCCCTTTGTATTGGGTTTCGGCCTCTTCTGCTTTTTCATTTATAATCCTGCTGGGTATTTGGCACTTGTGGCTTGGATCAGGCATTGACGGAGGTTTAGTGCCCGTGGTTGTGGGCTCAGCCCTGCCTAGGTTTGCTGCCGTAGGACACAGACTGGAATGGATTATAGATGGTCTGCCTGTAGCAGGAGATAGAATTGAACAACAAGTAATTTCAAGAGTCCTCACCCATGACCATTCAGTACCTGACTGTGCTAGTCCGCGCTAGGCATCAGCTCGCATTCAGAGGTCTGTCTTTGCCGTATTGATGTAGAGAGCACAGCCCTCTTCTGGTGAAAGGTTGCCTGTTGGGAAGAAGAGCTGAGGAAAACTGTGAAGATCCAGTGCCTTGATTTAGCTCCATGAGAGTCAGAGTCCTTTCTCAGCTCCCAGTTGAGCACCAGAGATGATGGCCTCACACCTTTTGCCCCTGTCATCAGTCCCTAGCATGTGGCTCCTCACGCCTCCCACCTTCATGAGAGGTTCCATGTGTAACTTGTAATAGAAATGTTATTGAAAAGCTGCCTAAACAAAACATTGTATAAAGTTAGGAACTTGTGTAAAGTAAAACTGTTGTAAATCCATTTTGAAAGTATAAAGAATCAATTTGTAAAGTGTGTATTTCAAGTCTTACAAATTTATGTAAACGAGTTTTCATGTTTCATGGTTGCTTGCATAGGAATACCTCTTTACATTTTTGTATGAATGGGATGGTTAAAACCAGCCAACAACAGGTCATCCAGCTCCCTGTTTTGGGTCTGGGTTAATTGTATAGGATGAAGGGCTGGGACATGGTGAGTCTGGATGTATCTTTTATTTTCAGGATAACCTGCTGCATTGCCATCGAGGGATGGAATTGTGATGTCATTTGATGTATTCCAGGTGAGTGGAGGCCAAAGGACTATTCTATCTGTTTCCCCTTAAATGGAAAGAGAAATTAAAAAGTTGCCTTTCTAAGGAGATAAGTCATTTTTTCTAAAATAAGTACCCAAGAAACCTCCCCTCCTCCCAGTCTAGTCCTGGCACACTTACCTAGCTAGAGGTTGGAGAGAGGAGGAGTGCGGTTTCAGGCCCTGACTCCTAAGCCCATGTCAGTGGTTTCCCACGGACCATAATTTTAGCGGGAACTTAAAAGAAAGCTCCTTTTACATAGGATTGGGGCAGGTTGACAGTTAATTGAAAAGTCAGGTATGAAAAAGTTGTACATAGAAGTTAGCCTGTCGTGCACAGTTAATAAAACCTAAAATTGAGAATCACAGAAGGCAAGGAAGGGACCTTCATTCACCACAACCGTAATGTAGGATCTGTGCTTTTCAGCTGGGACTTTTTTCCTTTAAACCGTACCCCTGAAGTGGGGCTTGAACTTCCCATCTCAAGATTTTTTTTTTTTTTTAAGGTTTTTTCAGGAGAGAGGCTGAGACACAGGCAGAGGGAGAAGCAGGCTCCCTGCGGGGAGTCTGACGTGGGACTCGATCCCAGGACCCTGGGGTCACACCCTGGGCTGCAGGCAGATGCTAAGCCGCTGAGCCATCCAGGGATCCCCTCCCCACCCCAAGATTTAAGGGTCACATGCTCTACTGACAGCCGGCCAGGTGCCCTAGCTTGGACATTTAAAATGGGTAAGGAATTGGACTAAAGGATTCTAGAAAATTTACTCCTTTCTCCAGTTTACAGGGTTTCATCTATATCTAATTCAGTATCAAGTTTTACAAGCAACTCAATCTAGATGTTTTTTTTCAAGTCACGTCTACACCCAAGGTGAGAATCCTGGGATCGAGTCACGTGCCAGCCAGCCACCTGCTGTGACCCCCCCCCCCCCCATCTAGTTTTTATACAGATGGTTTTCCCTTTTCCCTTAAATCCATTGGTTTATGTAATAAACCGAGTACTCACGGACGGACTAGAGTGTGCTGAGGAAGGGGTGCGGCCTCGCGGTCGGGCTCCCCGGGCTCCCCGGGCTCGGGAGGGGGCTGCTGCCTGCTGCCGGCGGTGCTGCACGGTGCCCCGAGGGGGCCGCCCCGGCTTCCACCTGCCCCGCGGGGACCCTGCGCGCCCAGCAGCTGGCCCCGGCCTTGACCTGGCCCCGCGGGCGCCGCGATGCCCCGATGCCCGATGCCCCGGGTGCCGAGGCGGGTTTGCTGGGCTCCGGGCCGAGCGGGCCGGGCCGGGCCGGGCCGGGCCTGGGGCTCCGATCCTCCTGCTCACGCTCCACTTCCCTGGCTTTGGTTCAGTGGATTTGCGTGGAAGCTCAGGGGAAAGCGGGAAGGCCGGAGCCTGGGGACGAAGGCCCCGTCGGCCCTGGGGGTGCCCCCGCCCGGGGGCGGGGCCGAGCCGCCTGGAGCCGCGTTGCTTCTCCCCGGGGCCACCGCCACGGGCGGCACGAGCGGGGGCTTCGCAGGAGGGTCCCCGGGTGGCCGGGGGGGCGGGGCGAAGGGGGCGGGGCTGGAGGGCCGAGGGGGCGGGGACGAAGGGCTGGACGGTGGGGGCGGGGCGAGGGCTGGCGGGTGGGCGGGGCGAGGGCTGGCGGGTGGGCGGGGGCGTGGCGAGGGGGGCTGGGGGCGGCGGTGGCGGGGCGTGGCGAGGGGGCTGGGGCGTGGCGAAGGGCTGGCGGGTGGGCGGGACGAAGGGCTGGAGGGGGCCAGGCGCCGCCCCGCGCCCCTAAGCTGCCGGGCGTGGTTCCCGGGGCTCGGCGCCGCGTCTCCCGCCGCTCGCGGGGTGCCGTGGCCTCTGCCGTGGGCTGCTGCGCTGGACACGGGGCGCGGCGGCCGTTCTCGCTCACCGCGGGCCCGGCCTCCCGAGGGGGGCGCTCGGCACCCAGGGCGGGGCGGTGGGAGGCTGCGGGCGGGGGCGGCGGAGGGCGGCGATCTCTGTCTCCCTGTCTCTCTGTCTCTCTGTCTCTCTGTCTCTCTGTCTGTCTCCCCAGCGGGCGGGCCTCCCCGGAGCCTCCCCGCGGCAGCAGCAGGGGGCAGCAGCGGCCCGGGGCTGGGCGGCTCTGCCCGGATCCCCGCCGCGGGCCTCCCGCACCTGCCGGGCCTCCCGCACCTGCCGGCTGCTCCCTCCCTGCGGCGCCAGCGCCTCCCTCCCGGGTCCGCGGCCACCGCCCCGTCGGGGTCGGGGGGGGGGGGGCGTCGTGCAGCCGAGGTCCAAGCCCTAAGGCACAGCCAGTTCCTGGGCTGCTGGCGTCCCGGGGCCCCCGCGCCGGGCCGGGGGTGCGGAGGACAGAGGCCCAGGAGCTGCGAGCCTCGCGGGAGGGGCCTGGGCGGCCGGGAACAGCGACACCTCGACCCGCCCCGCGACCCCGCCCCGAGACCCCGCCCCGAGACCCCGCCCCGAGACCCCGCCCCGAGACCCCGCCCCGCGTGGTGCCGCTGAGCCGGTGGACGCCGACCTCCAGGGTCCGGGAGGTGGCCGCCGGCCTGCGTGCGGGGCCCCGGGACAGCCGCCTCCCCACCGGCCCACCGACGGGCACGGGCGGAGCCCCGGGTGCTGACCTGCCCCGCGGAGGAGGCGGAGGGGCCGCGAGGCTCACAGCGGGGCGGGAACGAGGCGTGGGCTCGGGCAAGTGGAGGGAGAAGGCGGTTCAGGCCGAGAAACGGGAACCGTGATGGGGAACCATGAACCAACACGACCCTCAGCATGTGCCGAGCACTCCGCTG